GACCCCGACCCGGCCCAAGCGGCGGCAGCAGCAGCAGCAGCGGCCCCCGACCTTCCCGTCGTGACAGACAGACGACTCCGCCAATCACTATCCCGTGGAGGAGGGCACTGGCACGAGCCCTCCTTCGCCTCCTCACCACGTTAACCCCTTTTGGAGAGGCGCGCGTCTGACACCTAGCGACGTCCCCCCCGGCCGGTGTATAAACTCTTTTTTTTTCTGTCCAGGACGGGAGGGTAGCGATTAGGAGGAGCTTCCTCTTGGCTGAAAAAAAGGCTCCGGGTAACCTCAAGCCTACTTTCCGTCTGTGCATCCGCTTCTGAGTGTACTGGCGGTATCTCAAGTCCGGGATATTATGCACCTTATTGACAAATTAGAGATGACGAGGTGGGTGGTGAAAGCTGTCGTTCCAGGGTGAAAACATGTATGATTTAATACGGACATGATTCCTCGCCACATACGAATATTTGCCCCGCAAAACATCTCCGCGGATGAAGTTAGACCGGCCTCCCGAACGTCTCTTGCCAAAAGCTGACTCTGATGCTAACTCCTTACTACCAAAGAGGGGGCCCTCCAGAGGTTACAACACAATTACAGTATAATTTATCCTTCTGCATCCAGCCTGCTCAGAAGAGTAAATTATAACCAAAGATCTTAGTACCGTATTTTCATAAATCAAGCTAGTTCGTTTGTTTATTTGGAACGTTTTAAATTGAGAATAAACCAACCAGAGTTATTGACTAACAAATGCTTTGTGGAATTTTTGGACTGTAGATGCTGTGGAGGTATCTGAACCAGAAAATATATTAGGTCATGTCTAAATGAAAGTTTCCAGGAAAATTTCATTAAAATAAGGTGGCCCGTATACAGTAACTCTACTACTTTTGTCAACTCCAAAATTAGATTTTGATTGTCATAACAGCTTGAACTCCCCAGTTCGAAAATTCTCTGAATGTTCTTCCTTATTAATTGAAAATAAACATTTTTCAGTTTTGCTCATAACACCTAGTTTATCTCATTTAGTAAGAAAGCAGGTGATCTCAAAACTGGATTTGAACAGAAAAATATTAACTAACTGATGATGAGCATAGATGGAGTATACATGATATATTCCAAGTGTGGAGAACTAGACATAGCAGTGTTGCAGAGAAACCAGAGCTCCCATGACTTTTTGGATAGCAGGTGCTATCACATCACCTGTCGCCTGCTTGAGCCTCCCACGTTCTCTCTAAACTTCGCTGCAATTTTCAGTAACAGTACAATTTTCAACAGCTTGTTGAAAGCTGTCTCTGATGTAACACGAAGCATTTGAACATGGTTTGGTTTTGAATAGGCAATAAAAATTGGACAGTTTTACAATATATTTTACTTAAAATATGGGCCTCATATGTTAAGAAGAACTGGTCCAGGAGCCTGCATTTTTAGACTCTGCTCATGGGGTTGGAGCTAGGTATGGGTACTGTCATTATGAATGCCAGCACTTCCACGTTTATTACTGCATCACTAAAGGGTAGGGACTTTACTGCTGATTTGGAAGCAAAGGATGCTGAGTCATCTGATACTGTCTTGATTATATTTTATTATTGAAATTGTTGCACACGAAGAATTTGTCACAAAACATTACTGGACTATGAAATATCCACTGGCCATATGCAGAGAATCCATCATCACTGAATCACAACTAATCACAACTTAGCCCTGGAAGAAAGAAATGGCAAACCAATTCTGTGTGCCTTACAGCTAGGAAACCCTGGCAAATGTCACCATAAGTTTGGATTGACTTGACAGACCATGATTACGATACATCTGTGTCTGGAACTATAGAAAATAATTTCCCATGTGTGGATGAGAGAGAGATAGGAGGTGTTAGTCAGCATCTCAGCCACATTGTCTTAAAACTACCATTTTAATAATATACTGAAAAACAGTGTACAAATTTTTCTAATTCATTTATTTACACAGAATTATTTCTGGCCACAAGTGAACAACATACAGTTAAGTATAAAGTAAGCAATACTGTGGAATTGCTGGGTGCTGCTATGTCAACTAATTGCCAACATACAATGCAGCTATAATCAGGAATAGCCTAGATGCTGAAATAGTAAAAAAGAACAATGGTCCCAGTTATTAATTAATTAATTATATGCTGTCAAGTTAATTAAAACTTCCAGCAATCCTTTCCAGGGTTTTCTAGCTATAGATTACTTAGAAGTAGTTCAATGTTTCCTTCTTCTGGCAGCATTCTGGGGGTGTGCAGCTTGGCCAAGACTACAGATGTTGGGTCTATTTACTATAAAGCACAGTGTGGAATCAAACTGATCTCCCCTAGATCTCCCAAGCCCTGGATCCCCATGGGGTTTTTAAAGATAATTTTATTTTGTAACTTTACAATTGTGCAAAAATCTTTTGTAGTTTTAATGGTTGTTTTTTCATTTCTAAATATTTTAATTGTTTTGGATTGACAATGTTAATATCTATTGGTGTTTATTATAATTACCTGAGCTGTATTTTGATATACTTTGTAACATTTCTAACGTGTGTTATTGTGAGTTTGTATGCTGTCTTTCAATTTTAAAAAAAATCTGATTTCCAACCTCCACTGTAGGGATCAGGGTTGGCAGCAGTGGTAGTGTATTTGCATTGAAATTTGAGTGGAAAAACTAAACAATGCTCCTCAGAACTGAGTTAGCAAGAACACAACCTCATAAGAAGGATGTCAACAAAGTTCAGAGGACAACAAGGATGATCAGGGGACTGGAAACCAAGCTCTATGAAGACTGAAGGAAATGAGTGTGATTAGCCTTCAGAAAAGAAGACTATGGGGAGATATAACACTTGAAAGCTTCTCATACAGAGGAGGGGCTGGATCTGTTCTCGGTCACCCCCAGAGTGCAGAACACAGAATAATGGGCACAAGTTACAGGAAGCCAGATTTAAGCTGAATATCAGGAAAAACTTCAACTGTTAGAGCACTATGACTATAGAAGGCAACTACTTCGGGAGGTGACAGGTACTCTGAAGCTGGAAGCGTTCAAGAGATAATTAGACAGCCACCCGTCATACAGTATATTCTTTGGTGTGGATTCCTGTATTAAGCAGGGGACTCGACTCGATGGCCTTATAGGCCCCTTCCCACACCATTACTGTATTCTATGATTCCTATGTCTTTTGCTTCGATACACTATCCTCACTCCCCCCCCTCCTTGCCCCCCCAGGGACTTTCCAATCGAAGTCCCAAAATGCTGTACAGTATTCCGATATATTCAATACCCGCCTTCCTCTTTTCCTCTCGGAGCGGGAACTCCGGGGAACGACTGGGCGGGGTTTCGTCTGTCCCTCGTAGACTCGCTTTCCCGGCATGCCCCGTTCTCCGCCTCAAGCATGCGCTCCGCAGCCTAAGCGTGTCGCTAGCCTGGCTGTGACTGAGGCGGTGGAGGCGGCGCACGGGCGCTCGCCATGGAGTCTTACGATGTGATCGCGAACCAGCCGGTGGTCATTGATAACGTGAGTCCGGCCCCTGACTGGGGCTCCCCGAGTGGGTCGTGTGAGGAGGGGGGGTGGGGGAAGGGGAGTGTCGCTTTGATCTCTTAGGGGTCCTTTGATCCCGTGCATAAACTGGCCCATTAAATGCCACAGTCGGGGAGGTTTTTCCCTTTCCCGTTTCATTCGTCCATCGTTCAGGTACTGCCCGAACCTGGTCTTTGTTGTCTCCTTCGTGATCACACACCCCGCGCTTTCATTGGCTGAATCGCTTGCCGCTCAGCCGCAGGGGAAAGCGCATTGGAGGGAGTTGTATACACCCCGAACTCTTTCGTTTTCCGATTGGGTGTTCCCGCTGCCACTCATTGGTCGTTCGCTAACTGCGTTTCACGATTTAGTTTGGCCTGCCTTTGTGGAACTCGTGGGCGATGATTGGCTCTTGAACTTAGTTGTCGGGTCTTCTTGACCCTTAATTTTTGCGTTGCTCGCCATGATTGGCTGTTTTTGGAGAGGCGGGGGAAGGCGTGTCTCCGGGGTCTGCGCCGGGTAGCTGCGGGTTCTGTGTGCCCCGCCTGCCTTAGAGATGACTCAATAGCTTCTTGCCTATTCTCTTGGCGTGCAGTTCTTTCCATAAAAGCCCCCGCGGGACGTTGCCCGCCCTTTCCTAGAATGATGCGCTGTTCTGCATTTCGCAGGGTGCTTTCCTGAACCCCTTGTCAGCAATATTTGGTCGACTTTTCCCCCGGCAGCTGTTTGGTGGCCCTTTATATAATCCCGGGAGTGGAAGTTCCTTTCCCCTCCTGGCACATGCTTTGGGGCGACGGCTCCCAGGGTTCCTCGTTAGGGGCTGTGCTGGCGCGGGCCGCTGGTGGTTGCAGGCCAACCACGATGACTCTGCCTACATGTGAGGGAATGGTAATAAAAAAAGGCTGCGACTGCATGCCTAATGCCCTCTTCTGCTTCTGGGATGCTACACGCGCTTTCCAAAATGAATTTGCACATTGCACCTGGAAAGATTTCCAGGTATACAATTGTTTAATTATTATTATTTATTATTATTTATTCGACTGTTATACCACCCATCTGGCTGAAAGGCCACTCTGGGCGGTTTATAACAATATCAACAAGTTATGTGTCCTTTATAGATCGCTAATGTTGTAGGGCACTGGTTCTCAACCTTGGCTTACTCAGGAGTTGTGGACTGCAACTCCCAGAAGCCTTCACCACCAACTGCTGGCTGGGGTTTCTGGGAGTTGCAGTTCAAAAACATCCCAGTAACAAAGGTTGGGTACATGGGTTTAGTTCCTTGTCCCAGCTTTGTAAAGCCTAGTGTTAGACCCTTCCCCTCCCCCCCCCCGAAACCTTAGTGAATTTCAGTGAGATTCAATACAGCTCCATTTAGGACAGTTGTAGCTTTCACAAATATGCCATATTTATGGGATGATACCCAGTGTGCTTCACTGAGGGTGGAGGATGGGTAGCCTTGCAAGGATGTCTCTGCAGATTTGAAGATAAGTAACTAGGTAGACCAGCCTGCAGTGTTGCCAAGCGAGTGGAATATTTGCGTGGCAGCAGAGAGTAGCACATATGGACTAGCCTGCAGTTGTCCAAGCTGGGAATTCAGATTAGAGAAGAAAATCAGTAAGACATCTATGGAGTTGCCTTGGAGTGCAGGTCTTTTGAGGTTAGTTTCATCTGTGTACTCCTTGTGTTTGCTTGTTAGGTGTGCATCTATAACCAGCACTGCTCCTTCCGTAAGTAAGGAGGTGCCTTTGCCCTGCTTTTAGTGTGTCCCAGTTGTGCCCCTTCCAGCCACAGTTATCCAGATTTTAATCACCTTCCATTCAGATTTTGGCAGAACACTCTATATGAAGCTGCCCTTGAATAGGCTCCAAAACTGCAGCTACTCTTTTCCCCAAAAAATAAGACAGGGTCTTATATTAATTTTTGCTTTAAAAAAAGCATTAGGGCTTATTTCATTTATTTTTTATTTTATTGGATTTCTGCCCTGCCCAACTAAACCAAAGGTCTACTTTTCAGTGGATGTTTTATTTTTTCATGCACAATAATTACATTTATTCACATATAGTTATGTCATCTTCTTCTGATTGCTGCACAATGGTGGAGGGCGGGGTTTCACTTAACTGGGGCTTATTTTTGAGGTAGGGCTTATATTATGAGTATCCTGAAAAATCATATGAAAGTTTATTTTCAGGTTAGGTCTTATTTTAGGGGAAAGAGGGTATTGCAAAAAAGCACCAGCCAGATTGCTTTTTGCCTTTGTTGATAGTATTTCACTAGTGTGGTCTGGCAACCAAGTGTACTCCCTTCCAGTTTGTTTCTGGGCATAGTTCTTTTCTAGGTGCTGGCTCCTACCTCTAAAGCCTTAAATGCTTTGAGGTCAAAATATCTGAAAAACCATATCCTCTTATATGAACTTACTTGTTGTCTAAAATCTGTTTCAAAGACACTGCCATTATGTCCCATGACTAAGAGAGACTGAGTTGGTTGGTACATGGGATAATATTGTTACAGTATTGGCCTAAATCCAATTATTAGTCCCAAATGGAATACAGTGGTGCCTCGCTAGATGATGATAGTCCGTTCCACTGAAACTGCTCTTTAGCGAAATCATTGTCTAGCGAAAAGCATTTCCCCATTGGAATGCATTGAAACCTGTTTAATGCGTTCCAATGGGGAAGAATCATCGTTGTCTAGCGAAGATCGGCCATAGGAAAGCCACTTTGCGAACCGCCGATCAGCTGTTTAAATCGCTGTCTTGTGAAGCGTAGGTCCCGAAAACACCTGTTTGTGAACGCGGAGGGAGCTGTCAAAATAATCGTCTAGCAAAAATCAGTTTGCAAAGTAGGGACCAAACATTGTCCAGCAAAATTCCCCCATAGGAATCACTGTTTTGCAAATCACTATAGTGAAAAACCTGTCATGAGGGGTAACTGTCTAGTGAGGCACCACTGTAGAACCTTTGAATCAGTGAGAAAACTATGAGTCAACACTTTCATTGATTCAGTGGGTCTACAGCACATTAGTACCTAATTTCATAGTCTTCAAATGCAATGGGTTATAGTTCCCACAATCCTATTGCTAGAGCACTAAATTGGGAAAGGATTAAAATGCCTTTGCACCCTCAGATTTAGGTGCTAGATGGACTGAATGCTTATTTTTCTGTTTACTCCATTTGGTCTTTAGCAGTACACAGAGTTTTCCTTTTTATTACCTTTTTGGTAGTGTGTTGGCTTTACCCATGGATGAAGCTCATTCAAGATGTTTTAGAATTTTGGGAAGAAATGGGCTCTTTTTCTTATTGTTATTCTGTGTTAACAGTACACCTGCATCCTCACTACAAAAGCATGCTTGGAAGCCAATTAAAATTATTGTTGTATTCGCGAAGGCTTTCACGACCTGGATCTAACAGTTGTTTTGGGTTTTTCGGGCTCTTTGGCCGTGTTCTGAAGGTTGTTCTTCCTAGCATTTCGCCGGTCTCTGTGGCCGGCATCTTCAGAGGACAGGAGTAGCACTCTGTGCTCTGGTCTGTGCCCCCTAATCAAATAACCTCAAAATCGGACTAGACAAAGTGCAGCTTATGGTCCCCTGAAGTTTTTAGAAGACCCAAGTTGCCCAAATCCTCTCTGGAAAAATATTGGCTTCAGAATACAGTACATTTGCTGCTCATACTACTCCAGGGATAGCAATTTTGCAAGTGCTTCTTGACAACCCTAACCTGAAAGTGGACACCCAGCTACTTCCTTTTAAATTATTCTGCCTCCTTTTTTCTTAGTTAATTTTATGGGGGAGGGGGGCTAGCATATTCCATTCTGGATCTTCAGGGGAGAAAATTAGCCCTGGCATAAACAGGATATGCCTGCTAACAGGATATGTCAGCTAATAAATGAAAATACAAGCCAGTGTGATGCGACTTTTGGAGACTTTTGGATGAGGACTCAGGAGACCGGGGTGGGGGGGTAAAATCTTTGCTCAGCCATGGCAAGTCCCTGGGGGTATGTGGGTATGATAAGCACCTCCTTAAACATATCACTGACCTCAGATGTTCTACTAGAGTTACCATAAGTCAGAAATGCCTTTATAACACAACAGTAAGGTAGGGCATAATTTTGAAAGTAAAGGACCTATCAACCTTGCTAAACCTAAGCATCAGTGAAACTTGGCCAGTGCATGAGTAAACGTTACCTGGAAATTCTCTCCATGTTGCCAGAAAAGTGAGGTAGAACAAATAAATATTGCCATGACATATGAGAGCACCATTTTTCAGTGATGTCCTCATTTATCTTTAATGGCAGTACACTTCTGGCACTGCAAGAGGAAGAATGGAGTAGGAATTGAGTAACAAATTTTTTAAAATGGAGGAACAAGCCCTTGCTCTGTGCTTTTTTTAAAAAAATACTGCTTTAACATGTATTTGTTTAAATTCTGACAAGGATTAACAAGCCTCTTTCTTTTAAATATCAAAGAAATATGATCTGCTTTCTTGGTATCTAGGTGCTGCAACTTGTTTGTATTTGGTGAAAAGCCCCTTGTGTGCCTTGTTAAGTGGCTAGCATAGTTTCTCAAATGTTTTGATTTGAGAAGAAGCTTGTTGTGCATGAAATAACTCTTCTGCTTAGGAACTGCAAAGTTTAGGAGAAAATTGTGAAAGGAGATTTGCTCCATCTAGTGGCCTTACTCTTGTGCTGACATTACTAGCAATTTTTTTTTATTATGAGATTTATTTTGTGCAGTTGTTTGGAGGTTAATGGGATGGTTAGAAATAAGATCAGTTGTGCTAAGGGTAAGCTACTACTCCTGTTTTAATGTATTTTAACAGGCATAGTGCAGGGAACTGAGGTGTCTTGTGGTCAATATTGGCTGGTTAGATGATTATTTTCAATTCTTTTCTCCACAGGGTTCTGGTATGATTAAAGCTGGCTTTGCAGGTGATCAGATACCCAAGTATTGTTTTCCAAACTAGTAAGTACTGTACAGTGCTGATGCTGACGGAGGTTTTGATGCTGTGTAGATTGTGCATGAATCACAGTGTCTATATGTGGGGAACAGTAGTCTGTCAACCTATGTTGTGTCTGAGACTTGAAGCCACATGTTTTTATCACCATTCTGACTAGGCTAGTAATTTGCATGTGGTAGAACAGAATCCCTCAACATTATGGCCTCAACAATTTCTCTTGTAGGTTTGTTTGTTTGTTTGTTTTTAATATTTGGGGTGTCATTCAAATGGCAAGCAAACTGCACCTCTGTCTTTCACTTAATTCACGACAAAGAAAAGCAGATTTTCTCTTAATTGTTCCAGTTTTCAAGGACTAGATCTTACTAGGCAGCTTCTAAATTGTCTGTCACCACTAGTGCTCGGAACAATTTGACCAGTGCCTTGTGTTGTGACTGCAAAGCTCCTTTTTTTTCACAATCTCTTCCAGTGTGGGCAGGCCAAAGCATGTCCGTGTTATGGCTGGAGCTTTGGAAGGTGACATCTTCATTGGACCAAAAGCAGAGGTAAGGCTGCCATCTTACTTGGATCCTATGTGTTTTCTTCAAGGTATCAGGAATAGGAAGCCTATGTTTTCTATCTAGTTCAAGCTTATTCTCACATCTTATTTATATATAATTTTGGACAGCAAGACCAGGACTGAGCAACTATCTTAGATACAGTATATGGATTATATTGCAAGGATTTTGAGTTCTTGGGAGCTTTCAGCAAATCTGAATGTCTTGTTTATGCAGACCAAATGCCCACAGTATGTGTATGCTTATTTAATTGCCAGTTATTCCAGATGGACATAGTGCCTCATTTCTGTTACTAGTATAATTTTCAATGGAAGCCCATTGCTCCACTGTATAGGGCAGGTTCAGAATCATGTGGCCCTTCAGATGGTACTGGACTGCAGCTACTAGTGGCTCTAGCCAGCATAACCAGTGAGGAAAGATGTTGGAGTTGCAGCCCATCCTTATATGAAAAGCTACACATTGCTCACCCCTGCTGTAACGTTTGGACAATCAGTCAAGAAATTGAATTATGTTAAGATTAATCACTGAATGTTTTTGTTTGCCAAATTCCAGACCTGGACAAATAAATTACTTGGGTCTGCATTTACAGCAAAAAGTTGCTTTTAGGGCACAAATCATGAATCCTAATACATTTCAGCATGCTGACCGAATCTTTCTACATAGTGCTTTATCATTCTGAACTTTGAGTAGTCAAAATAAAGGGAGGGTTATAATGATGATTATTTGCATATTTGATTCATTGTTTCCTACTGGGAGAGAAGAATATGTCATTAACTGGATCTTCCTTCTCTGCCAACAATCCTCTTCTCCTGCTGGCTAGGGAGGTGTCCCTTCTATATGAAGAATGTAAGATTTCTGTATGGTTCCCAGGGATCAAGGTAGGGTACAGACCCTCTGTATCCTACCTTGATCTCTGGGATCCATACAGAAATGCATCCTGCATTCAAACAGAGGGCTTCTAGAGATCAAGGATGATGAAAATAATGGAAAAACACGGGGCAGTTACAAATGGAAGACAGATGGAAGATACTGTTATCTGCCCCAGAAATGGGGCAGAGCAATCACATGATAAAAGCCTCATCTGGAAGCTGTCATTATCTTAACTTCCTACCTTGCTGAATGACTTTGATTAGGAACACAGAGGTCTTCTTTCCATTCGCTACCCTATGGAGCATGGCATCGTAAAGGATTGGAATGACATGGAACGCATTTGGCAGTATGTGTACTCCAAAGACCAGCTCCAGACCTTTTCTGAAGAGGTGAGCTGACTCTCTGCCCTGAATCTCAAAACAGAAAACAACAGAGGCTTCCCTATTTGGGGTACCTGCTTTGTAGGCTTTGTTGTTCTTTATGCCTTTTTTCCTCCATCAAGAAACCCTTTTTATTACATACCATCCTGCCTGTGTTGGGGCTAGACCTGTGAAGGGTCAAGTGGTGGCACCTCCCTCATTCCCCCTTTTTGGATTCCTGCAGGCTGTGCTTTGCTCCTTCAAATGAAATCAGAAGTGACTGGGAGTAACTTCCCATTTTCCCAAAGTGCTGTTTTTGGGCAAGGGAGGTATGCCTTGTTCTATTTTATTTTGCTTTATTTTTTGAGAATACTACCCTCCCCCAGGCATGATTCTGTATTTGGGGCCAGTCTTGCTTTTGCTGATAGAAGAGCCTCATGGCGCAGGGGTTAAACTGCTGTACTGCAGCCAAAACTGTGCTCACAGACTGGGGTTTCTATCCCAGGTAGCTGGCTCAAGGTGGACTCAGCCTTCTATCCTTCCAAGGTTAGTAAAATGAGTACCCATCTTGCTGGGGGTGGGGCAATGTGTAGTCTGCATAATTAACTTGTAAACTGCCCAGAGAGTGCTTTAAGCACTATGGGGCGGTATATAAGCAGCACGCTTTGCTTTTTTTGCTTTGATGGGGGGCAGGGGCTCTGAAAGCCACACAAAAGGCCTTGCCTGGCCACATGCAGTCCATAGAACACTCAGCTCCCATTCTGCTGCTGTACATACAAATTGGTTTACTCTCACTTGTCAGTTAACAAGTGACACACATGAGGGACAGTTCACAGAATCAAAACTTTTGAACAAATCAAATTGAACAAAAATAACTGCGAAGTTGCTTAGCTTGCAACCCTGTGTTTGGAAGGCATTCTCCTTTGCACTCACTCTGTATTTCAAGCAGTTTTGCTGGACTGCTACCACTTTTCACTGGGAGCACTTGATAGAAGCATGTTGCACTAACAGGTTCTGCCTTCTGAAAGTGCAAATTCTAGAAGTTTATTGTGAGTCTTAATTTCACTAGTTTCCCTTTGTTTTCTACATAGCATAAAGCAGGAAATTCCAGTGGTGGTTTGCTTGGGCAGCTTTTCCATAGGCCTTCACTTACAGGTAGAGTGGTGCCCTCTCTCATCACTTGCTCCTTTTGGTGGCAGGGGGGAACACCAAGCCTGTGAAAGCTCACTTCCAAGGTCATAGAGGCACCTGGTGAACACCTTACAGCTGCTGATTTTTTGTTCATTGGCTGGTGCAAGACTGCTCTTCCCTTCTGCTGTGATGGTCCTTCTCAGAGAGGAGGAATGTAAAACTAATCATATGAGTCTACTTGGACTGGAATGTCACCTTTCTCAAACCTTGTGCCAAAACATGTGTTGGAGTGCAAACATCCTCAGCCCAAGACAGCACAGAAATTTCAGACTGATGCATCTGGAAAGGCACTGGGCAGGGGAGCGCAGTTCCATAATGTCTTTTTCTTCAGTGGCTTATATATGATCTACAGGTGGCTTCTGTGCTCAAGACTTTGCTTGTGTGATTTCAGATCAATCTTCTGACAAGATTATTCTATCATGATATTTGATGGGCATTTCTTTGGTTTAATAGTTTGCCTTTATTCATTTTTTATTTTATTCATTTTCCAAAGTCACAATCAAGGATGGAGGGATTTGCATGTGTTGGCTAATATTTTTTTATGTAAAAGTCATGGAGATAGCTTTTGTTTTTTGTGGGAGGACTGAGAAAATACCCATGAATCCTTGAAGAGTTCTGCCTAGCTGAGTCTTCTGTGTTTCTTGCTGCCAGCATCCTGTTCTCCTGACAGAGGCTCCGCTGAATCCACGTAAGAACCGTGAACGGGCAGCTGAAGTTTTCTTTGAAACTTTTAATGTGCCAGCCTTATTCATCTCAATGCAAGCTGTGCTTAGCCTGTGAGTACTTTTTATATACCCTCACATTTATGCATTCTTGGATGACACTTTAGAGGAGTAAGAGGTTTTCTCAGTGACAGGCAGGGATGTAGATGATATTTCCCAGAATTTGACAGCAAACAAGGTCATTGGTCATGCTTGCAGTCGGTTTTGGGAAGTTGTATTATAAAAAAGTCAGTGTTCCTATCGTCTTAAGAAGTAGATCCTGCTGTGGACATGGGGATTTATTCCAAAGTAAGCAAGCAAGCACAGGATTACAATCTGAATTTCATAAAAGACCTTTTCTTTAAAAGAAAGAAAGAAGAGAAAAGAAAAAAAGAAAGTCTGCCTTAATGACTAAATAGATGCCAAATACAATACAAATTGTCACTGTTTTGTATCTATGTTAGCAGAGTGAATTCTTTCCTAAAATTTCTCCATGGATTCTATTTCTTAGTCTGCATTTTATTTTTCAGAGGCTGGAGAGACAATGTCCATTTATTACTTCCATGTATATGCCATTCTTCTCTCTGAAGACATGCAAACAGTGCATAGCACAAAAACAATATGCATTTAACAGAGATAACAATGACACCCTTAACATAAATGATAAATGCAATAAAGTACAATAGTAATCATTCTCATTTGTTGTCCAACCTGATGAAGAATTATCCTCGGGGTTTTTTTAAAAAAATTGTTCTTAATTATACCTTAAAAATCAGAGTAAATTGGATTGTCCTGGAGAACTTCTTATCTTGGGATATGTGCCTGGGTGTCCACCAGGTAACACTGATTTTCTGTTAAATTGAGCTCTGTGTGTGTGTTGTTCTGAACCATATTGTCTTTTCCATAGTTATGCGACAGGGCGAACCACAGGAGTAGTCTTGGACTCTGGAGATGGGGTCACACATGCAGTTCCTATTTATGAGGGGTTTGCCATGCCCCACTCCATCATGCGAATTGACATTGCTGGCCGCGACATATCCCGTTTTCTTCGTCTCTATCTCCGAAAGGAAGGTTATGATTTCCATACATCATCTGAGTTCGAGATTGTCAAAACTATAAAAGAGGTGCATGGATATCCTTTCTTTTCCTCTTCATGTCTGAGGATGCTAAGCAGTAGAGAACAAAATGGGCTGCCACAACAGAGATAGCTCTCAGTGTAACATGTTGCTTCAGATGACAGGCTCAGCTGAGACTGCAGCTGTTGCTTCAAGATGAGCTTTGAGCGCTAATGCAGAAATGTGTTTTCTTAACTCTGGGATAGTTACTTCCCATAGCACCAGGAACCATTTCTGAGAAGTAAAAAGCCTGTAAAGATAGTAAGAAAAATAACATGATACAACCTTAACCTTTTGGGTACTATACCTCCTCACAAAATTGGTGTGTGATTGCAGGTTTGAAACTCTCCTTTGTGTTAGAAACTAGACATGGGCTATTTGTATTCATATCCCCTTCGGCAGGGAGATGGGACAGAGAGTCTCCCCTCTCAGCTGATCAGTGAACAGCTGCGCACACCGGCCAGGCTCATTCTGTGATTGGCGTGCTGACAATGGAGCCAAGCGCTGCATGGCAAGCAGTGAGTTGGGCTGGCTGGTTCTGGAGGGAGGGAATGGGCCTCCGTATCGCCAGGGATATGAATAGGAATATCCTATGTCTATCAGAAACATCTGGTACGTAGAAAATTAGCCTATCTGAAGATCTCTATATTCTTTATGCTGATATGCTAGCTTTCTATGAGCAAGCACATAGGGAGGAATGAGGAAAACACCACCATGAGTTTCAGGAATACCTATATATATGTTGATTATCTACATTGGTAAGGTTTCTATACTATCTTTTTTGCAACAGTAACCAAAGCAACAGACAACAAATCTCCTACAGCAAATGGTAACATAAGAACATAAACTCAGCAATAAGATTACATTCAAGCTTTTTAAAAGTTTGTTTACTTCATTTATATCTCGCATTTCTTCTTAAAAAAAGGAATACAAGGCAGCCTATGACAGTTTAACAATATATGTAGAAACAAATGTTAAACCACTCAAACAACATGAAAACCAGTAGAAAAAAACTTAAAAGGCCAAATTGGAAAAAGGCATCTTAATTCCTTTTTTAAAAACAGCAAGTTGGGCTCAGCTGAATTCTGAAGGGAGAGCATTCCCCGGTTTGGGAGAGAGAAAGACAGAGAACTGGTGTTCCTGACAAATGGCCCTTTACAAGGAATGCAGCCCTCTGCTGGCTTACTCATGCAGATCTTAATAACTGGACAGTGCCCTGATAGGACAAGTTATTACTTAAATAAGCAATGGTTGTGCTAACTAGGGATTATGGGAGTTGTTGTCCAACAGATCTGAAGGGTCCCACATTGGGGGAAATTGGCCCAGATCATGGACATAATTCTGTCATCACATAATTATCCCTGAGACTTTGCCTAATAGCCTGTAGTGCCAAACTGTCACCTAGCATGTAGCCACTGAGCTCACATAAAATGCCTGACTACAGAACTGTGGTGACTATACAAAATAGAGGATATTCTCTTGTATCCTTTGTCTCACTGCCAGACAAAGCCCTGGAATGAAGACTGTTCCCTAAACACAGCCCTGTCTTGCATTCCACAAAGAAGGAGTTTCAGTAATTTCAAAAGAGGTTTGGTCAGTTAAAGCTTTACCAGCCTTGAAATAACAGTCTGTGCCAGACCAGTTCAATAAGTATTGTACATTACTAGAGCTGGAATGATGACACTCTTCTGGCTTCAGAAGTGAAAGGTAAATGCTTTGTTGGATCACAAAGAGATGTTTAATATTGGGATTCCTTGTAATGTTTGATTCTAGTTCATCTTATAAAAAGATTAGTTTGTATGATTCTCTTCTTTTTACTGGTCTTCTCTCTACAGCGGGCTTGTTATCTGTCAATAAATCCACAGAAAGATGAGACATTAGAGACTGAAAAAGCTCAGTATTACCTTCCAGATGGAAGCACCATTGAGGTTTGTGAAGTCCTGTTTGTGAAGAAAATCTTATTAAATGATAGCTACAGCGGTAGCAGAAAAATGTTTGTTAAGACTATTAAACAGAAAAAAGAGCAACCAAAGGTACCCATATACCATAAAGCATTTGTAAAGCAAGTGAGACTTGCAGTAGCACAGATAGTTCACTGGACCTTTGAAGAAAGGGGAGTAGCACCCAACACAAGTAACATCCTTCTATATACTTTTCATATCACTACAAACTGTTACAGTATTGTTAGTTGATCTGAAATCCATCCAAAGCCAGGATTATGTTTGACTAGTTCCTTAGATATATGTTGTGTATGGGGACATTTGTTCTGGTGATCACTAACTATCTGACACTGTCAGCATTTTAAAATGACTCAAGGTTTCTTTTATAGAAACTTGAAGGTCGACCCACATGTGTTTTTTTTGTTCTGAGTGAACTGTGTTTTTTTGTTTTTTTGTTTGTTTTTGTTTTTTTGCAGATTGGCCCAGCCCGATTCCGGGCCCCTGAATTGCTGTTCCGGCCAGACTTGATTGGGGAGGAATGTGAAGGGCTGCATGAAGTACTGGTTTTTGCAATTCAGAAGTCTGATATGGACTTGAGACGAACACTCTTCTCCAATATTGTTCTTTCTGGAGGCTCAACATTATTCAAAGGTTACTTCTGCTGCCTTTTGGCTTCTATAGACGTGAGGGATGTTCCAAGTTTAACTCTAGAATCCCTTTACTACTTCTTTCTTGAAGCAAAACTGTTAGTTTCTGTTTGCTTATTTAGAGAGATACAAAGCTTACGGGAGTGAGGACTGATAGAAATTATTTATGCGCTTTACTTCTCTAATGGGCAGGGCAGGGCAGTGAAGTTCCTACGGAAATGTTTATTTTAGTCCAGTTAAAGGAGTTATACAGAGGCTAACTATCTGGGGAATTAGCACAATAGCTCTACAATATAAAAAACCCTCCATTGTTGTGTTTTGTGTTACTTCTCTCTTGCTTGAATTTTGCAAACCAATTACATGCCACAGAATACTTTATGGCAGTCTTCCCCAATCTAGTAACCTCCAGATATGTTAAGGTACAGTGGCCATGCCAGCCGGAGACTACAGGATTTGCTGATTTGGGCTAGCTAGAGGGTACCATGGTGAGGAAGGTTGCCTTCACTTAAGAGTTGCAGTGCCATGAGGAAAAGACAGACTGGTGTATAAGCCAGAAGCTCTTTTACAAAACAGGCAGGGTAGGAGAGAAATAGATGAGAAAATTCCACACATACCTTGAAAAACAAGGGACTTGTGGACACTGTCCCATCATTAGGCTAGTAAAGAAACAAAATCTTATCATGTTTTAAACTGAAATTGGTGGGTTTTTTTCCCAGGTTTTGGTGATAGGCTGCTGAGTGAAGTGAAGAAACTGGCCCCCAAAGATGTCAAAATCAGGGTAAGTTGTGCTTTGTCTAGCTTTTTGATCCATTTGATACAAAGTCAGCAGAATTCAGATATCCAGTCAACTACCCAGTTTCCCAGTGATGGATGTGTTTGCTCACTCTTGAAAACAATAGTTTCTGTTAATGGCCCTCTGTATGTTTATTGTTACTTATATCTTTGAGAGCAGATGTCATCAGTAAAGTGGACAGTGGACAGCAGAGAGCATTGGAATATTTGCTGTCTATGTTTTATCCAATTTTTACCAAATTCTTCTCAGAATAATATGTTCCAGAGGGATAGCTTTAATAATCCATTGCTGCAAAACCAACCAATAGATTGGTGTAGCAAGGTTTCATGGGCCAGAGCCTACTTCCCTGAGTTCAGAATATGATTGCTTCCTCTAAGGTGGCTGCAGGCAGAGCACCACTCCTGTCGGCTTTAGAAAAGCACCTCCTCACTTGGTGGCCTGATGCTTTTGGATTGCAATTCATTTGGATGGAGTTCAACTGGGGTTGATAGCAAGAGATGCCAAAGCTGCCAGGGATTAACTTTGTGAGCTTGGTGCATGGAGAAGGAATACTGTGTCCCCCTAACTGTATTTCTCTTTTCAATCCGCCAGATATCTGCTCCTCAAGAGAGATTATATTCTACATGGATTGGGTATGCACATTAAATTCATTTTGTAGCAGAAATGTTAGTCTTGTCTGCTTTTTCCTGGGTCCTTCTAATTAAGATAAAATAAGTGACTTACAATCCTGGAAGAGAATCTGAGTTGTAGCCATGGAGAGTTTTTGATCCATTGGATGGTTTATTGCATATTACAGCCATCAAGTAGAGACCAGTGTGGAGGCTTTTCTTGGTACTGCGCTGGAAAAAGAGGTTGGAAAACATCTGGCACTGCAGGCCTTCTTTGACTACAGCTCCCATCAGTTCTTGCCAACCTAGCCAATTAAGAGGAGTGCTGATTTACAGTCTGGCATCACATGGAAGACTGCATGATGGACTTCTGCTTCAGCAGTATGCACATATATTCTATGTGGACAGGAACAGGAAGCTGCTGCTCTAGCCCAGTAGCTTTTGTATATGCTTTCTTAAGGGAACCTTGCTCACAGTGATTTGTCTGTTGAGGAACCACTGCAGATACACCACAGAGCTCTTTTATACCGTAGAAGAGTCAGAGTGTATTTCTGGATGCACAGTTGATACCATAACAGTCTGCTGCCATTACACTGAGAAACCTAAAATGAGCCCCATTTTTCTCCAGAATGTAGTATAACGTGAAGAAGTGTCTGTGGGGGTGTCCCTTTTGACCATCTGTTTAACTTCCATGCTTTTTCTCCCCACAGAGGCTCCATCTTGGCTTCGCTGGACACATTTAAGAAAATGTGGGTTTCTAAGAAAGAATATGAGGAAGACAGTTCCCGGGCCATCCACCGAAAAACCTTCTAGCCTGGGAGTGTTCTGGGGTCTCCTTGGAGATGTGTTCTTCTTCTCAACTCATTTTTCTGAGTCTGAGTGTCTGAGGAGCTCCCCGTTTATGTGTATGTGTATGAGTAGATGAGTGCCAGCATACCTGGGCCTTCCCAAAACAAAAGGGAATGCCAGGGTTTGGACTTGGCTGGTGATTGGTCTTGTGGGAGGCAGGTGAAAAATGGGAAGGAACCTGCTGGAAAGATCTGTTCCTTTTTCTGTTGGCTTGAGAACCTCTGGGAGTACATTTGGGTCACTGTCATATGGCTTTGAAACCAAGCAGCTGAAATGAGTGTGTGATAAACCAGTCAGTATTTGGATTCCAAAGGAGATGGTCTAAGAATATGGGTCAGATGGAAGATCTATTGTGGAAACTCTTGAGTACAGAACATGACTGTTGGCCAGTTTCTTCTCAGTTGCTCAGTGCATTTTGTTTTGTTATTTAAGATGGCCAATTCATAGCTTCCCTACATAGTTTTAAAAAATAACACATGAAAGAGAATAAGCACATTTTGAGCTGTTACAAACCCATTTACTGTTGCTTGTATGTGTGTAGATTCTTAGGCTGATGTGTGAGAATTTGGACCTTGACAGGACAGTTAGAATTTTTAATTTTAGAAACTAGTTTGTAATGCATGGTGTAGAACAGAAATGTCCTTCCTTTGTTCTATTCTAGACTGTCCTTGTCTTGGTATCTTGTACTGAGAGAGTCAGTTTTCGTTGAGTCAAGTGCCCAGGGAGACTCCAAAGAGTGTTAATGTCCCATTCTTTTCTCCCTTTGTCTGCCCTTGCCCCCATCCCCAATCTCCTGCATCTTCTAAAGGATTACAATATGAATTCTTTCTGAATGGTGAAGGCTTAACACCTACATCACAAACCCTGTCCCAACAAGCTTTTCAGTCATGCTTGCCAGGAAGTGGTGTAATTGTTTTTAAGGTTATATTATTTATTTGGGGGGTAATTAGGACCCAGGGTTAGTTCTTCCTTTCCCACCTCACTCTTTGGCCTACTACACTACATTTCTAATTCTTTAACACTAGCACTGACATTTTAACAACATTCTTATTTTGTACTGTTGGGTCAGCCCTGCAGTAACCCCAGCTCCTTGGAGTGGCTGTTTCAATGAAAGCACCCCATGGGGGAACAATAAACGGTGTTGGGATACTTCAAAAGTTGAGACGTGACCTCCAGAGGGGAGGTAATCATTCCAAGATTTTGTTAATCCTTTTTGACTGCTTCGCACTGTTACTGAAAGGGGAAAAAAATCTAGCTTGAACTGAGTTTGGTTTTTTGTTTTTGTTTTCTTGTCTTTTTTAATACATTCTGGTGCTTCTTGTTGTTAAATTATTTTTAACTGCTGCTGAGGACCAAATATTTCCCACTCTTGACTGCTTAAGTATTAGAAGATGAAACAGAAGGATACAAGCTTTGCATTTAATAATGAAAGAGAAACCAGTAGGAAGGAAGTGATGAGGGACTTGAGCTAACAAGATGGGAGGTGGGGCAAAGCATTGTCGTTTGCTACTGTCAGTATTTTTTTAATGTGGTCCAATCATATTTATAAGCATTTGTTTGGCTCTTTTTAAGTCGTCATCTTTTTCAGGAAAAAAGATACTTTATGACTCAAAGAGACATTGCATTTTTTTTCAGTGTTTATACCAGCAGGAGCTGAGTCTGGCTTAAAGCTGGAACGATACAGTTCATGGCCCCTCCTGGAGAACAGAATGGTTGGATAGTTAAAATGCAGTCTGATCTTGGTTGCTCTGCAGCATTCCCACAGAGTCACATATTTCAAATAAATTGTGAGCTAACAACTCTGAATGTATAAGCATTCCCTTGTCTCTTCCTATTACAAAAGCTAATGCTCTTTTGGAAGGAGCTCCTCTTTCATAGTAGCTTGTTGGGGGACGAAAGACAGCAAATATATCTGAGCTTAGTCAGAAAAATGTAGTTCTGTTTTGGATGTTTAGTTGTAGCTGGAGTTTAGAAGGATGCATGCTACCTTGTATGTAATCCCCCACCTCCACAAGGGTTGTCTTCCAGCCAAGTAGATGCATTCCACGGATGAGCACTGATAGGAATTTCAACAGTATTAAGTTATTTTTAGTTCTAAGCAAGATGGTCCAGTGAAAGGTTTTCCTAAACCGAAGTTTGGGACAATCTGTCCAGATAGCAAATGTTAAGGCAATGTTGGCAATGTGTTTGCATCAGTGTCTTATGACTTAACCAGCAAATGGTAGCAAAGAGCACTGTCTGGTTTCTGAGTTTGTTGGGGGAAATGGAATTGCTTGAAGCAGTGATAGTGGACATGAAGCTGCTTTGCAGTAATACTCTGTTAAGATAACATTTTGTTAAAGAAAATTTTCGTTTCTACCTGTCTTCTCCAACCGCATGCTTTACTTAAGTGTTTTGTGATGAACTGCCTGCTCCAGTGGTGGTTGTGGGTTTTTCAGGCTCTTTGGCCGTGTTCTGAAGGTTGTTCTTCCTAACATTTCACCAGTCTCTGTGGCCGGCATCTTCAGAGGACTGGAGTAGGAGTTCTGTCTGTACTCTGGTGCAGTTTGTTTGGATAGTTGAGTACTGTATATCCAAACTGCACCAGAATACAGAAAGAGTTCTGACTACTGTCCTCTAAAGATGCTGGCCAGAGACTGGCCAAATTAGGAAGAACAACCTTCAGAACATGGCCAAAGAGCCCGAAACACCCACAACAACCATCGGATCCCAGCCGTGAAAGCCTTTGAGAATACATACCTGCTCCAAGTTTCCTTAATCTTATTTATACATCCATCTGTGTCAGATAGCACTGCTAAGAGAGCACATTCTCCCTTCTAACTTTTGATGTCCAGTAGTTATGTTAGGATTCCTTTGTTAAACAAATCATTTAAATTTGTCACTTGAAGTGATCATTTCAATTTGCCTTTGAATGAATCCAGTGTCCACTGTTTTATATTGAGTCTGGGCCAAAATGTGGCTAGATGTAAAAGCCAGTTACACCTCTGAGTTGTGATCTTCACAAAGTAGTCCAGTTTAGCAACTCCTGTTGATCTTAAGTTACGGACTTTTGGCCCAGGCTCAAGCAAGTATGCTTTTGCTGGGGCTTGAACAGGAGATGTGAATTTGCATGCAGGACATTTCTTTGCTTTGTCACACCATCCTCACTTGGCATTGGCCTGATGCTCAAGTACTTTGACCAAGAGTTGTAAGACAAAGTGCAATTTAAAGGCAAGAACCTGATCCATTACCAAGGGACTACATCTGAACACTAGCTTCTTCACTGGCTAGACTTCCATGCAGAGTGATCTAGGATGTTTTACAGAAGACTGTATGATTGGCATTCATCCATAGGTAAGGGAGAGAGATCCACACTTCTTGCCTTATGCTACAAGAATGTTATATTTTATTTTGAGCTGTCTAAGGTATGAAATGCATGCCCAGGACAGGCAGTTACTGTAGAGGCTTTGATTTCCATACAGAATAGAGCTGATAGACTTCATCTTAATTGCTTGCGGGTTAGGGAACCCTTAGGTTTAACAAAATGTGTAATGACAGTTGTTGGGAAATAGTAAAGAAAGAGGACCCAGTGCATGGTAAGTTGTACTGATAGAAGGAATGGCAAGCAACTACTAATTCTGTGTAGTCTGTGTCTAGAGCAGTGCATATGGGGATAGACGTCCACTGTGCAAAAATACCCAAATTATCTCCTGCGTCTCTTTAAATTCTACCCAAATTATCTCTTGCGTCCATCTGAAGTCTGTATGACTTCATTGTTCTGACATCAGTTATCAGAAGCAGTAATGTTACATACTGAACAAATTGACAGGTGCTTTCTGTAATCCAGCATTGGTTCTATCATTCTGATGCTATACTTTGCGAATATGTTCAAAGCACTGTTGGGTGCTACCCAACGTACTTAAATAAAAGTTGTTAATATATTCTATGGTATCTGTTTAATGGGGTTGTAGAACTTTTTTCGTACTATGAACCTGAGTGGAACCACTTAGTTTGATCCTGAATATTGTGCCATTGCTCTAACAGTTACTACAGTCCACAGACATGACACTTGGTATAGTAGAATTTAGCTTCTTCTGATTAGCACTACACAGACAACCAAGTTTTCCACATTCCAGGCCCTCTATAAGCAAATATTAGTCAATAAACATGGGTTGCTAAAACAGGAATAGTAGTGGTGAACCAGAAACCCTTGTTACTGTAGCTGTTTCAGCTACAACAGAACCATGATCACTTCATCATACATCATAGACCAGCCACCTTGTTCTGGGTCAAATAAACCACTGTCTACAGGGCACAGAGTTTCTGTTTAATATCCTAGCTGTATATTTCGTCTTTCAGCCTTGTATCGCAAGTTCTTGGCCTCTTGCAGCCTTGTGCAGAAAACTGGTCGGTGTAATATTGTGTCTTTCTACCACAGTTTATCACAGCATGAAGGAGGATTTCCAAATAGGCTTGTGGACAAACTACTTGATTTTAGGCATTTAAGATGTGAGAGAAGCAGCTTAGATTTGGAATGGTGAGAAGAAATAGCCATGAGATGGGAAGGCATCTGATCTGTCAGTGAAAAGAAAATACAAAATATTTTCTAAAATGTACTGGTAGGGTCACAGAGAAAAGCAGCACACTGCTGTTATGATTGGGGGGGAATTTAACACCCATAGTTAAACAAAATCCTAGTTTTAGGTTCTAGTGGTTTAAACATCAGAGGGGTGGATTGGCAAGCATGTCCATTGTATTCGTAACAGCTACTAGTTTGTAAGTAGCTGGATATGTAGCACCTGCCATCAACTTTTAAGCCAGGAGTTCTTCAGCTAACTACCCTGTTTCCCTGAAAATAAGCCCTAGTATGATTTTTCAGGATGTTCTTAATATAAACCCTAGTTAAGTGAAAGCCCACCCTCCACCATTGTGCAGCAACCAGAATATGACATGACTGTATTTGAATAAACGTTAATGGTTGTACATGAAAAAATAAAGCATCCCCTGAAAATAAGCCCTAATGCATTTTTGGAGCAAAAATTAATATAAGACCCTATCTTATTTTCATGGAAACGTGGTACATTTCAAGGGCCTATTCTTCAAAGGGAAAAGATGGGCAATATCCTAGAAGGGAAATATAAATTGACAACATCAGAACTAACAATTCCATCCCTGTTGGGACAACAGGATAGGTGTTATGGACACACGCCAGTGGAGTGAGGACAGCAACTGACCTTGCCAGTTTTCTAAGCGGATCTTTCTGACTGGAGGTTTTCCAAAGGTAACAAGGTAACGGTTACTTCTATGAGCACCTAGTGTTGCTTAGGTCTTCTTAATACATAAGTAGGAGGATTTCAATGTCAAGCTAAATTAGGTGGTACAGCTGATGGTGATAATGTATATGTGAATCCTTGGAAAAGACCTTCCAAAAGAGCTCTTTAAAAATTACATTTAATGAGTGAGCAGAATATTACAATGTAGCTATCAACTGCGATAGAACCATTTAGAATGTAAACATTTTATTACCATTCCTTCTGCCTCCAAAGGCAACATTGGCAAGACTGTTGGCTGAACAAACTGGATATCTAGCCTCCACCCTCCTGTGATTTCAGTATACAGAAGAACAGGCAATAACTCAATCCAAGGCATTCTGGATCATTTTTCCTGCTACAGCAGAGGTTGCAGACCACGAGCAAAGAACTTTGCCACATTTCTCCTTCCCAATTCTAAAGAAGTACTGTCTGAAACTTTTCCATGATGGTAGCTGCAGAACTCATCTCAGTTCACTGCTGGCTGTGGATGGGATGTGATTTTGTTTCTTAGAAACAACTTAGTAGCTGGTTCTGGAATCACTACAAGGAAGCCTGCCATTTCCTCAGCTCATCTCACCAGTGACTTGCCAAAATGTAGTTTTAAAACAGCCAATACAGGGACTTGGGCTTACCCTTCTTGGATGGCCTAGATTAGCTGGAACTAATCAGCTAACTGATAAACCACCACCCCTCTGTTAGGCACAATTTAGCATCTCGCAAAATAATAAATAAAATAAAAAATTGGATGATCAACACTTTCATACACATAACTTTGCTTTAGCCACTGAAGACTCTTCTGCCCTGCTACACATTTCTCTGAAGAAGACAGTAGCTTTTTCAAGTAGCTCTGCACATTGTGAAACACGTTTTGAGGGCAGGTCAGGATCAAATCACCCTGTGTCCTATAGAATGAGGGAAAACTTGATGTCCTGTATAAATTGCCTCACACATTGACCTATCAAGGTGCCCCTTGATAGGTCACTGTGTGACCCTTGAGCCCCTCCTATTTCTAAGAATTAGCTTGTTTAGCAAGAAATCTAAGGTGATTTTCTTATAAGAAAGGCTGATCTTTCATCTAGAAATTCAATAATTCTTGGAAATGTTTCAGATCATGTTTAATATATCTACCTGAGAGTCTCAAAATTGGATGGGAGAATGACATTTGCGACTTAACCCACCCCTTCAGTGCAGATCTTTATGCTCCATTCACAGTGAACAAATGCAGTGCACTCATTGTGTTGAAAACAATTAGTAATTACAGTATGAGTTCCTTTTCCACAAAAGGTGAGTCTGTTTCACAAAAACTGTACCATGCTGTCCTGTTTGTTTTATAGGCCACCTTTCTCCTCACGCTGTCCTGTTTGTTTGTTTTATAGGCCACCTTTCTCCTCAATAATACTTTCTTCTCCCCAATACTTTCTTCTCAATAAGGAGACCCCAGGAACGATATCCCACATGGAGTATCAATGACATTTTGGTTCTCTGACCTGTGCTCACATTTGAATCCCAACGCTGGTGATTATGGAGAGGTGTCTTTATTCCCGTGCAAAGAGGAGGAGTGATAAGGGAAGGGGGAGCCAACCCTGCACCCTTAGGCAAGACTATCTGTGAACAGTTTCAAAGGGTACATGGTACAAGGACCAGGATACAGCTCAGCTAAATACTCCTCACCCAACTCAGAAAAAGTATGAATGGTCTGATACCTGGCTACTACTCTCCAAAATAAGTTTCTCTGGAACCAAATAAATAGTGGCAGAATTACCTAGTCACTGCTGAGTGATTTTTAAAAAAAGGCAAGATGACTTCTGGGCCAAGTCTAACTGGTGATCAGAGATACGAGCTTTTAGATCCAGAAGAAATCTTCAAGGCCAATTTCTCCCATTGCAGGGAGCTGAACATGACTCAGAAGCTTCCACTGATTTTTCCTTCACCAATGCTAATCTGATTTTTATATATATATGTCACCTGCTCTTTTTTCCTTTTACTCTCCCAAGTTCTTCTGGAGTCAATCAAATATTCTAGCGGACACTGCTACCCACATGAAATTAAATGGTTTAGATTTCTTGGGATTTGTTTTCCGTCAGGGCTTGACGCTGAGATTTCACTGTCTGAAGGTGTCTGCCATGAAGGGTGAATTGCGACCAGCTGAGGAGTTGCAGTAATGCACATGTGATGGGAACAAAAACTAGGAGGTAAAAGCATCCCTGCCGTAGCATTGCTTCCCAGGTTGTGTTGGAAGCCTGCTTTGGTTGGGCACTCACTGTATTGCTCAGTGGATCCCGTTGAAAGATGTCATAACCTAGAACAACAGAAATTGTTAAGAGAACTGAAGACTGTCTTCCCTTTTAAGTTATGAGAATCAACAACATCTGATTCCACTTTCACCATCTCTGAAGTGCAAGAAAACTGTGATCATCTCCATTCAAAATGTCTTCATTGCTTCTCCCTACTACAGTAGCCACAAATACAAATCTCTAATTTCCATTCCTCATAGAGACAAATCTTAGTACAAGATGGTAGGTTTTGGGGTGGGCCATTGGCCTATAACTCTGAGAATACCTCAAACAACACAGCCCCAGTAGTAGTCACTTTGGCTAGAGTATTACAGGAATTCTGTTCCAAACAGATAACTAGAAATTTATTGCTTGTAAATTTCATTTTTAAGGCAGGAGGGAGAGCCTTTTCTCCTATACTAAAACTGACTCATTTAGAAGTTACTTTGAAGTGATTTTTTCCATCATGAAATAAGAGACTGAAGTCTTTCCCCTAGAATAAAGTTCCAGTTCTTTCTAAGGCATCTATCAGTTGCTCTAGCTACAGTGGTGCCTCGCTTTTCGATTGGCCCGCATTACGATTACAAGACCATCGTTTTGCGATCGCAATTGCGATGGTCTAAATGGGGAAATTTCGCTTTGCGATGATCGGTTCCCTGCTTTGGGAACTGATTCTTCGCAAAACAATGTTTTTCTAAGCTGATCAGCGGTTTCAAAATGGCCACCGGGTAATTAAAATGGCTCCCCACTGTGTTTAGGGACGGATTCCTCGCTATACAGGCAGCGAAAATGGCCGCCGTATGGAGGATCTTCGCTGGACGGTGAGTTTTTACCCCATTGGAACGCATCAAACGGGTTTCAATGCGTTTCAATGGGGTTTTTAATTTCGCTTTACAATGTTTTCGCTTAACAGTGATTTTCCTAGAACGGATTATCGTCGTTAAGCGAGGCACCACTGTATCTGACCATCCTTGCCAATAGCTTAAAATGGCAAATTCACTTGATATGATGTACCTAACATGATGTTTAGACTAAGCAAGGAGCACTGCACTCCAGCAAAAAATTATTCCTTAATGTGATATTTGTGTTGCAAGAAAAGCTTTACAAAGTTAACTGTTCTGGTCTACCAAAATGCTGTAGCCAGCATGTTGATGTGGGTGAGACAGACAAACAAAGTAATGTTTCCAAGCTCTAACAGCAACAAAACTGTAAGTAGAACTCTAAGCATTTCTTATTGGGGTTGATTACAGACAACTACAGGGGGGAAATGCTGCTGCAGGGAAATTCAATTAAAAATAAATCAATGACTATTGTGCCACAGTACTAACAGCTTTCTAACAGACATTCCTGCCTTGGTTCTCATTCCACTGCTCAGTGAACTGCCCTGACCATCACTTACCAGTATAAGCACAGAGGAGCCAGGTACCAATCAAGGGGGCAAAGGTCTGGCCTGGTTTGGTTACCAAGGCAACCATGCCAAACAAGAGAGCTGAGGCAGCCTGCTTCCTCCGATTCAGCACCAAGTCTTCATCCACCAGGTCAGTGACCACCAAGTTGAGCAACTTGCATGTCCCTTCAGTGAACACGCGATTGCTGAGAACAATAGAGATGGGAGATTATGAGCAGGTTCAGGCATAGTGGGCACAGAACGAAGAGGAAACTGCTGCATGATATGCAGATAAACACTGGTTACCTGAATGCAAGAGTACAGTTAAAATAATCTAGACCACCACATTAATTAAAACTCAGCTTGATGTTTTCCATTCACTGAGCTCGCTAGGGAGGGATGATGAGACCTGCATCCCCCATGTCCCATCATGGATAAGGTTACTCATGTGTATTCATGGTAAGACACCCCCCCCCCAAAGTAGGAATACAGAAAGAAACGGTGAAATGCCACAGTACTGATCCTTTAAATTCTCAGGCAAATACCAACAGCACCCCATGTTGCCAAACCTTTAGCACGGTTACCACATTTCGTTCAAAGTTCTGTTCCTCAAATTCATAAGTAATTTTTTTATTGTAAAACATGAGCTTTTTGGGATTCTTAACTCCCTTATGCCCACATATTGATTTTGCTCCATCTTTGACTTGATAGTATGCATTTATTACTGAAGATGAAGGACTTACTAATGCCTCTGATCAATCTTCTCTGGATGAACAAAAAACAGATATCACAGCAGATTCAAACACCTGAGCCCATGGCTAGGAGTCAAGATTCTAGTCTAAACTTTGGCTCAATGACAATGATACCAAGTATCAAAAAAATGAAAAATATTGGAAAAAGCCACCAAAACATGGCTGAAGGCCACAACAAAACCCCCAAAATAATTAATTGGCCAAGAAACATTAGGATTTTCCAGCAAATAATGTATTTTTTTTAAAAAAATTGTGGAATTTCATTTTTCTTTCACATGGGGTAAGTCAAGTCTACAATGCAACTAGAACAATCCATTGTTCAGTCCTAACCTAGTTCCCCAGGGCCATAATAGTTGAGTGGTGTACCTGGCTATGAAGAAACAAAGCAGGTAGACCCAGTCTGGTCCAGCAAGGAGCATAATCACACTGAGCAGCAACTTGAGGAAGAAAAGTCCTCGAACCACAGCATACACACCCCAACGCCGACAAAGAGAAAGGAAGTAGAGGTTGTTGAGATGAGGAGCCACATAAGAAACACCTGAAAAGAAAGATAAATAGGCAAAGGATACAATACCCTACAGTGCTTTCTTGTATGTAGCCATAAGGAACAACTATGGGAGAGCCACTGCCAGTCAGTGTAGGCAACACTGGGCTAGATGGCTTGTCTATAAGATCATTCCTATTATTTGGGATAAGGTTGGAGGGTACACTGAAAAGGGTGCTTCTTGTTGCAACACCCTAACCTGCCAAGGAAAGTCAGGCTATCTCTACCCTTGCTAAGTTTCTTAAAGGCAATTTTGTCATACCTTTGCCTTTAGAATAGCTGTTAAGTAATATTTTGATACTGTGATTGTACATACGTACATTTGCAATTTATATATATATGTCACAAGCCTGCAATTTATACATATATGTCACAAGCCCGTATTATAAATTGTTTGGGAGCCTGAAAAGTAATTTATACTTTAATGACCAAATAATAATAAATATTAACAAACACATCAACAAGAAACAAGGGCATAAGTATCCTGATACAATAACCTAGAAAATAGGCATGGAACTGTCAATTTTTTTTTATCTCAACTCCAGGAATTTGCTAAGAATTCCACCAAGCAGAATTTCAGAAAGTACAGTCAGAAAACAGAAATCCACAGAGCATTTTTCCCTACCTCCTTTGGTGGTTCTGTTGCCATGACCCTCCATTCAAAGAGAAGGAAACTGCCCTGGTGCTTCACGGGAGGTAGTTCTTTGGGAAAGACCCTCTACAGCGGTGGCCCCCAACCTTTTTGATGCCGTGGACCAGTTGGGGGAGATGGGGTCCATGTGCGGGGGGGGCATCCCCTACACTTGCACGTATGCGTGCAAAGGGAAGGGGCGGGGTTGTTCACGGGGGGCACGTGCACGCATGTGCATGTGCAAAGCGGTTGTGTGGGGGGCATGCAAGGGGGGTGGAAGATCTGTCTCTGCAGCCCGGTCCGGTCAAGGCCATGGCGCAGCACTGGGCCACAGACCGGGGGTTGGGGACCTCTGCTCTACCGAGCCTAACAGGCAGTGAGACTAACCATCCTATGAATCCTTGTAACTTCCAAGATGTTTCATGAAACTTGTCCCATGAAACATCAAGGCAGTTTCCTACATTTTGAACAGAGGCTTATAACAAAAGAGAAAAGTCTCAGGCCTACTAGAAAATAGTTTAAGATCACCTAGTTTCACTGCCTAAATGCACAAAAACAAAGCAGTCCAAGTTAGATCCAAACATTACTTATAAATACTTTCTAACCAGAAACAGACGCTGACATAACAAACCACTTTTCTTGTACAACAGCTGTATTTCTCTGACATTTTGAACTAAACTTCCATTAGTGATACACAAAAACAAAAAGCAATTAGTCAGACACTGGGAGCCCTATCTAAATCCCCATCAGTACGGGTACACTGGTAGGCTTTGTGGTGAAAATTTGAGACACTGAGACAAGACTTAAGTAATAATCTTTATCTAATTCTCTTAGGAAAAGGTAAACAGGACATCCTAAGAAAACAATGAAACTACTAAAGCTACATAACGAAGATATACCAAACAGTAAAAGCAAGTAGAGCGGTGGCAGCTCAGGCAACGCCCACTAACTTAGGCAAGCACATACGGTCTCTGCCTCACTCAGTCAGTCAGCACCAGTGAAGTGTGGGTTTGAGAGAGAGAGAGAGAGAGAGAGAAACAGCTAATCCCCTTTTATAGAGCCTCACTGAAAAAGGGACAGGTGAGGTATTTAAACACATTAGCCCACAATGGGTAGAATGTTGGATCTTGTCATATCCCAACAGGTTTTCCACTCTGGCTGCATTGCATTGGCTGCCCATACGATTCCGCATCGACTTCAAAGTGTTGACCCTTACGTACAAAGCCCTAAACGGTTTAGGGCCTCGATATCTGGCGAAACGCCTACTCCCACCAAGTTCTACCCGTGTCACTCGAGCGAGCCAGGAGGTGAGGCTGAGGAGCCTAACGCCGAGGGAGGCCTGGAAGGAGAAGACAAGAAATCGGGCCTTCTCGGTGGTGGCTCCTCGCCTCTGGAACAATCTACCTCCTGGGATTCGCGGGGCTCCCTCACTGGGTATCTTTAAGAAGCAACTGAAGACATGGATGTTTCGGCAAGCCTTTCCTCCAGACAATTCCTGATGTTTCTTTTCTTTTCCGCTGCACTTGGTTTCTATTTTTGTAAAGTTTTTATTATTTACGCTGTTGTATGTATGTATACTTTTATTATCTGATGATGTTAGCCGCCTAGAGTGGTCCTGAGTTGGCTAGATAGGTGGGATATAAATAAAATAAATAAATAAATAAATAGCTTGAAACTTACTGTAATACAGTAGTGAGCAGAAGACTGATACAGATCTACTAGTAGATTTTTGGTTAATTTGCTGTAGATTGACTTATTATTTTGCACATAACAATCTGATGAATGGACAACAACTCTGAATTAGTCAAAATATGAAAGCTTTCTACAGCTGACCCCTAACATTTCAGCCTTTTATACCCATAGCATTAGAGATCTAGGTGGACACTGAATGTTGAGCAATGGTAGAGAGAGAAGAACTGACAACAAAGCCAGAGGCGGAACACAATACAGTATCCCCTATCCTCTAAGACATATGGTGAATATATGGCTGGCTAGCTGGGTGAGATCCTAACAAGACCACTCTGTATAACAATATAATGTTGTAGTTCAATTTCACACACAGAGACATTTATTCCTTTCCAGTGAACACATTGGTATTCTTCCTTAAATGAAGGAAAAGGGCAACATTTATGCCAGTCTTCACAAAAGCCATCCTATTCATGTTTTGGAATTTATATTATTCAAGGAGTATTTATCCTAGCAGACGTCTGGGAATCTAGCATAGTTTTACTTGTCAGTCCTTTTATAAGAGGGTGGAGGGAAGCCGCTTCTACAAAATGCTAGCAATAGTTGCAGCTACAATCCAAACAAGTTTGGATTCTACCTTCTTTGCCAGTGAAAAAGGTGGTATTCTTTGTCTAGTCAGTTTCTAGAAATCAAGGCAATATTGCTAAGCAATAGATCTCCACTCCAAACTGTGCACTCACCAAGCAGAAATGATCCCATGGAAAGTGAGATACGATCAGAAAGCAGATGTTCCAAAAAGAGAGGGAAGAAGTTGCTGTTGAAATGGCAGTGAAAAACCTGTGAAAGATGGCATTATTAAATGCACAAATAATCACAACATTTGTGAAAAGACATCTGTCAGACTGCTGAAAATAGCAGTTTAGTAGAACAGTAAATACTAATTCAAAAAATAAATGGAATGCCTGACATCAAAATATAAATGCCAACTGCTTCATGGAGTTTTTGAACAAATATAGCAGTTGTCCAAAGAAATATTTTAGGCTTCTTATCAAGACAGCCAGTATTAGCAGCAGATACCGCTCTTAACTAAAAAGGGAACTATTTAGGCCAATTGAGGGAGACTGATTCTTGCTCTGCAAAATCAGGTGTCTCAGCAAGTGACAAAGACACTGTGAATGTTATGCCAAGAGCGTGCAACAATTTCTAAGCAGAGAGTGGAAGAAAGCAACAATTGCATGGAGAAAAACTCTGATGAACAGGACCACTGGGTGGATTCCTGAATGTCAGCAACATTTCTGGACCACAGAAAAAACCAACCTGTGTAAGGTTCATGGTGACAAACCAGAGAAAGTTGCGATGTCTGGAGAGCTGCTTGAGGTACTCAGCCAGAGTGATTCTCTTCTCCTGATGTCCAGAGGAATGGTCAATGTACAGTCTGGAAGAACAAACAGTGATATTCTTAAGACAGACAGAAAGGTGGGAGAGGTGGGCACATTTAGCCTTGAGAAAAGAAGACTGAGGAGTGATATGATAGCACTTTCACCTATTTGAAAGGCTGTCATACAGAGGAGGAGCAAGATCTGTTCTCGATCATCCCTGAGTGCAGGACACACAACAATGGGCTCAAATTAAAGGAAGCCAGATTTGGGTTGAATATCAGGAAAAACTTCCTGTTAGAGCAGTACAACAGTGGAACCAGTTACCTCAGGAGTTGGTGAGTGCTCCAACACTGGAGGCATTCAAGAAAAACTTAATCACCTGGCGGATATGCTTTGATTGTATTCCTGCACTAAGCAGCGGGTTGGATTTGATGGCCTTGTAGGCCCCTTCCAACTTCACTTTTCTATGATTCTATGATATTCTTATTTTTCTTTCAGAAATGTTGCCTCTAATTTCCCTTTTCTAGAGAGGATAACATGGAAACACCCTTTTTCTTATTTTTCTTTCAGAGATGTTGCCTCTAACTTCCCTTTTCTAGAGAGGATAACATGGAAAAAGGGGGTGACATATTGGAAGGACAGGATATAAATGAATAAAAAGGCTTATTATCACAGTAGTTTCTGCTTTGTTCTTTCCAAAATAAATACATGCTTTAAACCAGTTCACATATACCAAAAGGTGATAAAGAAATATGTTTGTTTAAAAATGGAAAAATAGCCCTCAGGGCCCAGTGTAAAACTTTGTGAACTGGTGCCTACTATTTCAAAAAGCAAATGAGAGTGCCATACAAATCCCAAAGCACATTGGCAAAATGGAATCTGTACACCTAAAAGTTACATCTTATGCTAATTGTGTAGGATATTTAATCTAATGACGGGGATTGAGCAAACTAACATCACAACTTACTCTTTTAAAGCTGTGCTTTCATCCCATTTTGCTCGTTCCTCAGCTTGAAATCTCTGCTTTAGCACCCATGTGGCCAAGGTAAATCCAACCGCTGAGCAGAAAGCCAGTGCCACACAAAATATCCGGAAGGAGAAGAAGTTCTCCTTGTTCCACACAGCATAGGACATGAAGACTGAAAGGGAACCAATGGCACTGAAGAGTGAAGAATAGAAGTTGAGGCCGGTCCTATCCTTTGCAGACACCGCAAGGTCAGCAAGCAAAGCATTCTGGTTGAGATCCACCATGGTGAGGAAGCTATCATAGAGGCAGAGACAGATGAGGAACTGCAAGCCTGGATGGGCCCATGCAATCCAGAAAGCCAGAAATGATATGGCAAAGAGGGGACCATTGCGGCTCAGGGCCTTGAGTCTCTTCAGAACCACTTCTGGAGTAGAAATCTCTACTCCAGATCTGCAAGAGAAGAAATACCATCCCTATGAAAACCAGGTCAGCCACATTCCATAATTTTAAATTACATGCCGTCTTAGCGTTCTGTCTTCTTGTCAATCCTAATCTTCCTTGTCCACTTTATGCTTTCATTTCTGCTACCCCTTATCCATCCATTCCTGTTTAGTTTAATCTGACTCTCCCACCTGAAGGACTGTACTACATTGAGGAGAAATATTCCAACAACCAGCCTAACAAGGAGAAACTCTGCCTCTAGACACTGACCTCTCTTTCCTCCTCTCTTCCTTCTATTATATATACAGTACCAACACCAAGCACATTATTCTACTTTTACAGCTATTATGTTTGTGACAAACCCAGACCTACTGGTATTCTACTTTTACAGCTATTCTGTTGTTTTAACTTCTGATGTAGGACACGGATCAAACTCTGCTTACTGTTGGGTGCTAAGGAAAGCCCGGTCACTCAGCCAACCAAAGAGAGGGTCATTGAGGCTGTTCCAGATCAGAAACACAGTCTAGAGGGAAAGCATGAGATACTTAATGAGACTTAAACTGAAATTAAGTACTGTACTTCAATTTTTCCTGCAACAGAATGACATGGCTAACCCTATGGATATAATTTCATAGTTACCAACATCCAGCTCAGACAACTGCAAGCAATAAGTGAAATGCCTAACTCACAGACAACTGCAAGCAATAAGTGAAATGCCTATCCACACAAATAGTTCTTCTGTCTGTTGCCATTTTTCCCAGACAAATTTCTACGACGGCATTACAGTTTCATTCACTGAGGGTGCATCCCATCCAACACAATAGGTAAAGCTACCCAGCTAAGCTCCAATTGAATCTTTTTATTCACTCCAGCATCTATCATCTCCAACCTAGACAATGAGGATTGCCTGATTGCTCTCTCTTTCCATGTTTCTTACTGGTTAAAGAGTCTGTAAATTCAGATAGGAAGGAAACATTTCTGAGTTTACTGTGAGGAAACGGATTCCTAAGCTAGAAGAACAAATCTTCCAGTTCCTAGCAAATCTGGGTGAAATCTTACACCACTGCATTACATGCTGAGTCTCACTTCATTATCAAAACAGGTCCTTAGTTCTCAAGAAACCATGGGACAATTAGGTTTAGATCAAGCATTTCCCCTTTATCCCCATTCACTTTTACTTGGTGAAACAAAACAGTGGCCTCAAAAGCTTGCACACTTTTGGAGGTTGCCTTTATGTTCACCTAATAAGGGTAGCGCCCCAATAAAGATTTTGGAATTTGCTGGTGTAAAGGGTTACTATGGTTATTTTGAATTTAGTATATAATGTACTTTATAAATATCCCTGCCACTTAACTTCACTGTTTTGCAGGTTTTATATATATATATGTTTATGACACCTTAAAAGTAATAATTTTATTACGACACAAGTCTCTTCCATAAGGTGCATGAATTTAGTCAGTTGGCAGGCTTGTGTCATATATGTATAAATTGCAAATGTATGTATGTACAAATGTACATATACATATACACACAAATATGTGTGTGTGTATGTAAATATACAAATATATATTTTCGTCAATTCTAGAACACCATAGATCTGATAAGACTAGAAAGACCAAACAGTGATTTCCAAGTTCAAAACTTACCTCCCCAATCCAAAATGAAAGTTTATCAATCTTGTATACAGAAACAAAGGTGTCCACATAGTAAAGAAGAAACACATTGTGCAAAATGGAAATAAAAAGTGACAGGGACCCATAGACCACTGCAACAGGCAGGTTGAAGAGACACGCTAAGAGCCTGAAACCCATGATGATTCATTCAAAGTCTTCTGGTTGCCAATATCACCTCCAGCTCCAATAAAACCTTTCTCTCCAGCACGTACTAGTTTGCCATTTGGACCAAACCATCATCATCTCTGTTAAAAAAACAAACAAACATTGACACTTCAGTAGCTAGAGTCAATGTGTTCTTGCACTCTCTTAAAAGACACATATCCATTTAACTTGCAATATGAAATTCAATTGCAGACAGTGGTTTAAAAAGGGGAGTAATAGGCTAACGCTGACACAGGGTGTTAGGTATGCTTTTATTGCCGTTTGGTGGTGTTTGGGGACAAACTGGTTTGCTCCCTTTCCCAGCAAGCACATGACGTGCCATTTCAAACCAGTTTATCAATCTTGTATACAGAAACAAAGGTGTCCACATAGTAAAGAAGAAACACATTGTGCAAAATGGAAATAAAAAGTGACAGGGACCCTGATCGATGCCTACTCACACTTTCTATATCCCAGTCATTTTTGTGGGGGTGTGGGTAGGACCACTCAATTTTGGTTCAGTTCCAGCATGTGTGATCTCTAGGATCAAACCAAAGTGACTGCCTGGCCATACCTTTAGTGAAACTACTTATTGATCTTGAGAAATGAGGGAATGGGAATAAAAGTAATCTCTTGCATGACTTGCAGAATAAGAGGCTACCTAATTCACATCAGTAATTCTTATTTTAAAGCCTCCTTTCAGAGGAGCACAATATTGTATGCCCCCAAATCAGTCAAACTGAAATACTGTAACTACTGTACCTTGCAAAGAGGACACAATTGTGAATAGACTCTTGAGGCAGTTCCAGTTGCACATCAGTAGTCACAACTTCAACCTGAGAGCACCGTGAAGTGACAGCACTAAAAATGACAAATACATATTCCTGCATCAGATGGCACCATAGGTATTCAAAGATGGGCACGTAATCCTGGAAATATTGACACAGAAAGTTTTGTGGGCCAAGACTTGAACAGAACTATTGACATTAGTTTTTTTTAAGGTGAATCCAGAGTCTCTTGTCTCTTTTGAAGTCATAACCTAAAATAGTATATAAGGGGAGAAGAGAGAGATTTATAAAATTTTTCTAGATGTATTATTGAAGGGGTGTTTTATGGCTAACTGGCCTTTTCACAAGCCAACATGGCTAAAATAATATCAATCTGTAAATTACCACCTCAAAGATTATATTGATTTGTAAACGATATCCTAAATGGTCCTGAGGAGGACTTATTAAATGTCTCAAGATGTTTTCCTTATTTCTTAACAATGCCACCTGGCTCCTTTTAGCAGGCATGTAACTGTTTCCTCATACAAGAAAATTAAGTCACTACTGAGCAATCTTTTTGTATTAATCAGAACTCTAAAAGCCATTGCAGAGATAATCAACTATGCTTTCTCACAGAGGCTGGCCAGGGAACCAGACCCTGTCCCCAATGGTTCATGGACCTTCTTACTTTAGGGGCCACAGGCAGAAAACGAGACATAACACACTGTGCTGGCCTCATTCATCCAAGTGCCTGATAGTGAGCCAAGGAAGAGAGAGAAATGCCACCTGGCTCCTTTTAGCAGGCATGTAACTGTTTCCTCATACAAGAAAATTAAGTCACTACTGAGCAATCTTTTTGTATTAATCAGAACTCTAAAAGCAGACTGGCATCTTGTGTCTAGTTCCACCTCAGCTTATATCTCCAGTTATCTCCTTCAGATTGTAAGCTCCTTTGTGGCTGGGACCTTAACGTTTTTGCCTACCGAACTCTACAAACCACCATGTGTGATGATGGTGCTATAAACTGTAATACTGTACTCTGTAAGGACTACACGGTCAGGGCATTTGGAACAGTAGTAAGTAGAAAGGAATACCTGTATTAGGTTCCCCCCTCCCTTTCTCTCAGCCTCTCCCAACATCCTGAATAACAATCTCTGTAACCTGGTGAGGAGGGTATTCCCTCCGATGTTTGCTCGCTGAGAAGCCTGAAATGGATGGGGAAACCTAGGGGTGAGGGAGAAAAACATAGGCATGCAGTATGTCCTCTCTCAATTTTATCCCCCCAGGGCTGACTAACAAGTTTAACAGGTATTTCTGGACTGGACCCCACTTCACAGCCTATTTATTGGTAATACAAATGAAGGGAAATGAGAGTACGGAAAGAATTGATTCACTCCCCCACCCCCCATGCAGTGTAGTGGGAAGCGAACAAGAGAAAACGCACGAGAATACACAAAATCTCAGAGGACGAGGATCTCATTATAAGCGCAAGACATCCCGTAGAATTTAATTATTCTCTAATGAACCGTCCCTTAAAGGAGATCCCTTTCCAAAACGTCGGCCAAGAAAACAAAGCTATGGGGTTAGGCAATTAAAATCGAATGAATGAAGGGACACCACGGGAGCGGAACGGGGAAGAAAAGGTTCGTAATAAAAACTCAGTGGGTTTGTCATTATAACTAGAAAAGCCGGAGAACAACATCAACAAAATGTCTCAAATCCCCCTTTTCTGCCTTTCTTCTGTTTACCTGATACTATCTCCGACCCCGGAATCATCGTCTTCATCAAGCTTGCGCAGCCGCACTTGACTTCTTGCTAGCAATTAGCGCGTCCTCGTACAGAGTGTCGGGTGACGTTCATTTGGCGGCCATGTTTTTACACTGAACGCTTCTTCTTTTACAGTTAGGAGCGCGGCTGTGGGCGTCGGGACAAAGTACAGTACAGTACTGTTCATTTACAGTACTATATTAGCCAGTCATAAGGAGGTGGTGCTTCTTTGATAGTTGAACTGAAAGATATTGCCAGGTTGGTCAGGGAGGTGGAGCCCAAAGGTTGGGTTCATATTCCTAGGATTTTAATATCCCCAAAATTTAAAATCAAAACAAACAGCCTGTTTTTTTAAAAGACAATTTATTTTCCTGCGAATAATTTGTTATATAGTTTTTTAAAAACAGATTTTACCATCATTTCAAAAGTGAGTGAAGGGGGTCACTACGACCACGTGGAGATGTCATGCATACTTGAAATTCTGTGGTTGGTTATACAGTACTGTAATTAAAACACAAAGGCATCCGTTACAATAAGAAATACGCCTGTAATTGCATCATTCATTTTGGCTCAAGTGCAATGCCAAGAAGCATTTATTGTCTCTTTTTAATTACGCCATCTGAAGGATTAGCTGCAAATGAAGATTTGGCAAATTATTTGTGTACTGTATTTTGGTTAATCTCCATGATGCTGCAACATCTTGATTACTACTCCTTTCTGCAGTAGATGCCGTCCGGTCCCTTGAGCGCTGCTTGGATGTCATGCTGGTGTGGATGAAGAGTAACAGACTGAGCTGGATCAGGACAAGATGGAGTGCCCCTAGTGTCTGCAGTTTGGAGAGGGTTTTTTTTTTCCTTTGGGGGGCTACTTTCCACTGAGAAGGAGGTTCACAGTCTGGGTGTACTTTTGGACCCAGCACTATCAGTGGAGTCCTAGGTAATGTCTGTGGTCCGTTCCATCTGAGCCGGATTGCCCAGCTGCATCCCTAACTTGACACCAGGTTGCTCGCTATGCTGGTCCATTCACTGGTAGTCTCGAGCTTAGACTACATAATGCTCTTTACATGGGCCTGTCCAATGCTCTCATATCTCCCCTACCCTGACTACCTTGCAATGACTACCTGTTCATTTCTGTGCCAGCTTCAAGGTGATGATGCTGACATACAAGGCCCTAAACAGTTTGGGATCTTGATACCTGGCAGAATGCCTCCTTCCAGTGAGATCTGCCTGACCTACTCAGTCTTCCCAGGGTGGGCAGTTGAATGCACTGACCCAGAAAAAGACCAGAAACTGGGCTTTCTCAACAACTAGCCACCCACCCACCTACATCTGGAATAATCTCCTGCCCAAAATTTGCCTGGCCCCTTCACTGAGAATTTTCAAACTATCCCTGAAAACATGGCTATTTACATCATCATAGTGCAGAGACTTTTACAGTGGTTACATCACCAGACCCACCATCTTTCCTTTTAAAATTAGGTTTACTGTAGTTTTTTTTTTTTGACATTGTCCTTTTGTGTATGTGGATTGGAATGTTTAATTTTGGTTTCTGTAAAATTCCTATGTTTAACGTCTTTTAAAGTGTTATTTGTTTTATCATGTTGTGAACCACCCAGAGTGTCCTTGGTAGCTAGATGTGCAGTATAGAGGTTGAATGAATGAATGAATATAGTACTATACTTTTAATCTCCAGTTATGAACTCAAAAAGAGTCAATTTAATAAATTTTCAGTTCCAACAAAATCACTAGAAATTGTGTTTCCTGTGTATGAGTCCTAATACTTTTGCAGTGCAATCCTACTCCATTGTAACGATAGGACTGCAGCTTACATGTTTTTGATCTGCCATTTAGGATATTTAGTAGTAGAATTGTGTGTTGTGCTTCCAACTATTGGAGACCCTTTTGAGGATTTTAAAAGTATGAAATACTTAAGTTTACAATTTCCTTCTTCTGGGGGTGCTCTGAGACTGTGCAGCTTGCTCAAAACTACATAGGCTGGCTCTTCCCTGTTGGGCAGAGTGAGGAATCAAATGCCCATCTTAGTTCGGCAGCCATGTGCTCCAGGTCACTGAGATCTCTAGCATTGCTTTCTGTCTTTGAGAGCTAAATCCAATGTTATTCTCAGCCAGCGTAGACCCACTTAAATGAATTGGGAGTGTTACTCACAAGCAAAGTATATCTCACTTATTTTATATTAGAGCTAAAATTGACCGTAAGCCCTTTACGTTTGATTTGTTTCCTTGATTTAATTGCTGGTTTTTGTTTTTGTGTTTTGTTTGTTTGTTTGTTTGTTTACTATATGGATTCTTAACTGTCTTGAAAGTATATCCAGTGAGAAAATAAAATACAGTATTCAGGCTTATTTAAAATTGAGCCTTAATAAGATGTCACTGGTGGTCATTCTAACTTTTCATTAGTGAAGGGTGTTAAGTCAGAAGATTATTTTTCTTAGTCACACAGGAATACATAGAATTGTCAAGATGTGAAATTTTGTATGTATATGGGGACAATCCTGAAAGTATACACAGCAGTTTTCTTAAAGTTATTGTAAAACAATCAGCCAGATCTGGGAGCAAGGTCACTGTACAAAAATAACATTCCAAAATAATTTCCTCCATAGCTGACAGTTTAGCATGGAAGTAAAGGAGAAAATTAAAAATATGTCAAAATAATTGGTAAAATGTTCCATTTGCAGTTACTGTGGTTTGGTCTAATTTTAATAGACCCAGTGATTTGCTGTACCTTGATATATTAATCCCATCACTTCTGTTACTTACTATAATTATAGTTATAGTCAGTACAGACTGCTGTTAGACAATGCTTATTATAGTGGCAGCTTGCCAGATTTTGAGTTAGAGTCATACTTTACAGGAATTGTAAAAGCAATGGAAATTCCTGTTGTAAAATGTCTGCTGGTGCATCAGGACCCTGTACTTACAGAATCAGAAAAAGTCAAATGTTTACATTTGAAAGAAATATAAATACAAAGAAGCAGAAGACACACACACATAATTGTAAAATAATACAGGGAAACACACTACACCAGCAATTATGTAGCAGTAGTATCAATGACACAAGACAAGGACAACATGGATTTTCCTCCATAGTATCAACCTATGGGTGAACACTTAAAGAGTAATTTTCTGTGTATCATTTATAATATATTAAAGGCTAAAGATTACTTAAAGCTATGGTGCTTTTTAACTTTTAAATAATGAATTTTGGAGTTGTATTGTCTGTGTCTTCAATGTGCCTTCTTGGATTAAAAAAATCCTACATTTCTAGGAAGCATTTTTGGGATAAATGTCAGCTGTCATGAACACAGGCTTCAGATTTTTCCCTAGAGGTCTATAAATTTCTTTAGGGCTCTAACGGAAATGCATCAGACTCTCTGACCTAACAGAATTAAATCCTGTTTGACTCAATTAAGTGGTATGCCTCAACACCAAAACAGCTTGAAAACTGGGAGACAATGGTAAAGGAAATAACAGTGGTCAGACAGTCCTTTTCCTGAGAACTCAGTATTGTGCATGAGTCACAGGAAGATGATTATTCACATAGTTCCTTGTATATTATTCTAGTAGGTTTCCATTATCAGAAGTTATTAATAAATAATTCACATATTCCACTTGCCCAAGCTGGAATGTCATATACAGTTCATGAGAATAGTAGTGAAAATGAATTATGTATAGTAATTAGCAACATATCACAAATAACACATATGTGATGAAGGATGTGTCGGAAGAAGTGATTGCAATCCACAAAAGCTCATACAGGTATTGCAGTAAGTCTGTTGGTCTTAAAGCTGCCACAAGACTTGGGTGTTTTTTTATTTTAACATCTCTCTTGAAACCTAGCTGCCTTTGAAAAAAATATACAATAGAGTAGCAGAAAGTACCTGAATTTTCATCAGCAGGATATTAGATCCATAGTGTTAGCAAGATACTCACTAAAACATATAGTTTCTGCTCTTCAAGCCGTCATCCTCTCCTTATACAAAAGATAACCAGCTTGTAGTTCTCTTGTCTAGATAATGGACTGTAGTTCCCATGATCCTTCACCATTGCCTATACTGTACTAGATAGAGTTGATGGGAAGTTTAATCCAACATTATCTGGGGAGCGGGCACCCCTAGGCCACCTATGCTGTAGTATTTTAATATGCTAGATTACTCACGTGCTTTAATTAGCAGGTAATACGGCTGTGGTGTAGGTCATAGGATGATTAACACCACATGTTAGAGTTAAGACCCAGGTGCTGCAATGCTGCAAATACAGACGTGCTCTCTAACATTTGCTTCCTTTCACAGGATTTATACATCATAGAAATTTTCCCTTATGAGAAAGGGGTTTAAGTATTATTACCTGTTTAGTATAGCAGATTTGCTGAAGTTACAAAATAATGTGGAAGGGTAGTAGGAAATTGCCTATTAAAAGACTGCATGGGTCATACAATCATAGTTAATGGCCCAGTTCCTCTTAAGTTTGATTTATATCTTACTATGACTATTAGTGCCTACTTTTCAGACTTATTACAGATAGCTAAATTAGTTCAGGTGTTTAATGTAGTTGACAAAATTAGCTAAAAAACCATTTAGTTAAAAGTAACTGTTGAGGTAAGGTATATAGTTATGGTTGTTGTTTGTTTTTCGGGCTCTTTGGCCGTGTTCTGAAGGTTGTTCTTCCTAATGTTTCGCCAGTCTCTGTGGCCGGCATCTTCAGAGGACAGCACTACAGTTATAAATGTAGCATTGTACATGTTGTGTGTTATTAATTAAGTGGAAGAATAGAGTTGGGTTCAAAAGTACAGAAGGTAGTTAATGTTTAATGTAATGGTAAATGTTGTAAAGTGATATTATAGAAATATTAAAACAGTGGTTTTAGACATCAGTAGTTTAAGTATGCAAAGTTCTCTAAGATTTCTGACTTATTTTCCTCTTATACAGTGTAAGGTAAGGTCTTGCTCTTGCTTCATGGTTATATGGGGGTAAAGTAAAGGATGATGATTTACCATCGCCTGTGTGTTGTTGGCTGAACTTTGTACCCAGGTTTCCCAGGCTATTTGCAGTATAATTTTAAAAGTTTTGTCTTTACTATATTATCTTTTGTTTTTTTTTCCATAAAAGGTTCTTTTGTCTTTAATAGGTACATTCTACATAGGAATTCTGCAGGTAATGTTTTCCTGTCATGCATTTTGTCATGATATCATGATTATCTGTTGAATGGTTACGTACATTGAAAATGCCATACCAGAGACAAACATATTTTTCCAGTCCTTTAGAACTGTGCAAAAGGGGGAACATCAACAAAGATAGCTCATCATGTAAGGATGAGAAGCATTACACTTACTAAATGTTTCCTGCTACATACTTCTTAAAGTGAAAGAAGCCATGTTTCCAAGGCTTTGGGACATTCTATTATAGTCCTGCTTTGTGCATAAATTTCTGCAAGTTATTTCAACATGTTTCAGAAACTTCTGTACAAGCATCATAATGTCAATAGTGGTATAGCTGTCAGTAGTGCATGCGGGGCCTTGAAAACCTGAACAGTAAAAAAGTAAATTTGCTAATGGAATGACCTCTTTGAAATAAGAAGATAGCATTTGCTCTTAGATTATTAATTAATGCATTTATTTAAGATATTTTTATCCTGGCTTTCTCCCTAAAAAGGATCCAGGATGGCTTATGTTAAAAGACAGTATTTAATGCTAACAAAAGAATCAAACAAATACCATACCAAAAAAATTTAGCAACACTAAAACAGATTTAAAGCAGGAAGGTGCAGCAATCTATTTGAAAACAAAAGCAATACCAAAATGTATTCAAAACAGCACTATAAAATAATGCATTTAAAAACCTCACTCAGGCAACCAGTCAGGGAAAGCTTGCCTGGAGAGAAAGGTCTTTGCCTGCTTGCAGAAGGACAGCAAAGATGGGGCCAATCTGGCCTCTTGTGAGGGGTAGTTCCAATGTCTGAGACTAGCAACAGAGAAGGCTCTCTCCTGTCTCCCCACCAAGTATGCCTGTGAGGGTGATGGGACCAAGAGAGAGCCCTCTCCTGATGATCTTTACATTCAAACAATCTCGTAAAGGGAGATGCAGTCCTTGAGATAGCTTGGGCTTAGGCTAGAACCAGTCCTTTGAATTCAGCCCAAAAAATGGGTTGTCAGCCAGTGAAACTGCTGTAACGGGTTATGCGGTTCCTCTGGCCAGCCCCAGTTAGCAATCTGGCTGCTGCAATTTGGACCCACTAAAATCTCCTGACATTTTCCAAGGACAGCCCTACATAATCTGAGTAGTCCCACATATGTAGATGAGATTCTTGTGATCCAAATAACTGGCTATTTACATTGCCCACTGTCAAGATCACATGTTTTTCATAAACTTTACAGAGTTCTGGTTTCCTGGGTTAAGATAAACAACTAGGCCAAAAAAGTACAAGCAGATGTTAAAATACTCTCAACTGTGCTCTCTTCTTGCAATAATAATAAGATATAATACAATAACAACTCTGATGGAGTGGGCATTAGTCCATGAAAGTACTTTTGTGCCATAATACATTTTTGTTTTAAAGGTGTTACAAGACTTCTTGCTGTTTTTGATGTAACAGGTTAGCACAAGGGTGGATTATTCAGATGTTTAGATATTCCCATGCAATGGTCAGTTTTTGACAGAGTCATTTTAAAACACCTTGCACACATTCGTTTTCTTCTTTATAATATACCAGAATCATTCTTGCCACAGTAATCCATTCCTTCTCATGACTGTAGTATTCCTTGTATTGACTGTGTTGCACTGATACTTGTGAAGCCTTGCTACTAGTAACTGTATGGGTGAGGAGCAGGAGAGGAAGAAGACAGAGGTGCACTGGAGGTGAGGAAACTGGAAAAGTATAAGGCTAGGGCTTGGGATAAGAAATGGGAAATTGCTGCTGGAAGGGAGTTAGAGTCTTGTGGAACAGATAGAGAGACTATGCTGAGGCAACAGGGAAAGGATGCTCCCCACCCTCCCTCCCTGCTAGTGCATTTTCACAGGTGTGCAGGTAGAGAGCATGTGCATAGGTACTTTTCAGACAAAACTTTAGCTGTAGACTTTTGTTTCTTGTTTATATTTCATTGCATTCTTTTGTTTCTTTGGCCTATCACATAAGGCTTCTTGCATGTTGCTGTTGCTGTAACTTGTTTGTTTGACTACTCCTCTAAGAAGCTATATTTTTAAGCTGCTTTCTGGAAGCCATTCAGCTGTGTAACTGCATCTTTGGCTTATCTAGGCATCAAATGGTGCAGTGTATCATTTGTATGCTACCAGGTATGCAAAACTTTCTTTCTCCCTCACTTTACTGGCTGAAACCATTTTTCTCCCAAAGAGCATTTGTCATTGAGTCATATCTTTCACTCAATAAAAAATTGTATCCTCACCCTTTCAAATGTCCGGGGCTACTGCATTTGTTACACCTATAAGCTCTGGGCATCTAAAACATCTTTTGGTTAAAATTTCTTCAGGTTGGAAATCATTAAGAAGTTGCCCCCAAGTTAGGGTGAACAGACAGCTAATTAAAAGGGTGGGTGGATGGCTTCTGTGCATCAAATAATGATGCGGGTACTGAATTTTTTTCTGCATAAACGTGTGTACAGTAGGACCCCCATACCAGTGGGATCAGTGCCTGCAGTTTAACTTATCCAAGGTCTGAAAATATTAAAAGAAAAAAATTCAGAAAAAAACTATTTTCATATGTATTACCAGAACCAGCCACTAGACTGAGCTATGAATACTTGTTAGTGAAGAATACATTGCATGGTCTCTGGCACTTTCTAGTTGTCAGTTCTGGTAATGCATGTGAAAAATCTCTCTCTATCTCTCTACCTCTACCTCTATCTCTACACACCTACCTACCGTGTTTGCTATTATCTGTGATTTTCAGTGTCTGCAGTGGGGATTGGAACCAATCCCCAGTGGATATGGGGGTCCTACTCTAATTCTGAAGTCCAGACAAATTGAGGTGGTAGAACAGTTTGGAAAAGTTACTATTGAACTACAACTCCCAGTGTCCAGTAGATGTTACAATTAGCATGCTAGACAAATGATCTGGAAGTCCTAGTACAAAAATAAATTTTCAGAGCGTTGGAAAATTTTTTTACTTAGAAGCATAAATCTTGCAGTAACAAGTAGTTTCTCCTTGAGATGTCCAGCTTATCAAGGTGTAGCTCTATGGCACCCCCACACACACACACACACACAAACCTACAAGATGTAGTAGTTCCACTCTACCCCTACATATTTTTAGTATCTAAGGATGGCCTCTGTAATGCTTACATTGCATTTATTACACCATTTGTTCTCATGGAGTTCAAAAAATATATATACAGAGGTATTCGGATGCTTAGCTTTAGCCTTTGGAATAGCCCTAATCGGGTTTCCATTGGTTCACCTTACGTGGTACAGCAGACAGAGCTGCCATTAGCAAGCGTGAAGTGATGGACTGCTAGGCACAGATTTTTGGTCATGACAGTACAGCAAATCTAGCCACTGAATTGTTATATATTTTATTACGAGTGATGTGGAGAGATGTTTGTGGGATCATCTCTGTGTAGTGTTGAAATAATTTGATTGGGCTGGGATATGATGCAGCTTGATTTGTGGGGAAGGAAAGAGATTATTTTCTGCTGTGTCTCAGGCAACAAAGTGTGCTGGGCCTGTTCTGATTGTAAAAGATGCATGAGTTGCACCATCATAGCGGTTAATCAAGCTGCATGCAAGGTGAGAGGTACACCTTTGGGTCTTCAGCGACATCATTAGAAATACTGGTACAGATAAAAATATTGCTCCAGAAAGGAATCTCTATGGAACATGTGGGTTTAGCTCCCTCACCTCTAGGACTGTGGTGAATATTTGCAAGAAAGAGAGAATATAACTTCAATTCAGCCCTGATATCTTTTTTAACATAATTTTTATTTCACTTTAAAAATTGCTTACACAGAATATATAAATTGCTTAATACAAAAATATAGCTAAAATATGCATCAGATACATCATATCATAATAATACAGGTGTATATTTTTCTTAAACTTAAACATGCCAAATTACACCTGTTTTTTATGAAAACTATTATCTTACAGCTTGCTCTCTCTAAAGTGAATACAGAAAATTACTTCAATTATCACTAGATTCTAAATTTTTTAAAACCAATATGATAAAGGCAAGGAAACATTTTTATTTCAGATGAAGAGCAATACACATTGTAGCAGCTGCCAGTACATCAGAGAGATGGGAACATCATCATTATCCTTTTTAAATGTATAATAAAGTCATCAAAGGATCATCAGGAAGTTTGTACTCTATTTACTCAATATAAAATAGTACAAATCACCAATAAATGTTACTTTTTTGACACTTCCAAAGCATGGCAATATGATCAACTACTGGCTAATTCTATCTCTAGTTGGATTTTTGAATTTGTCTGGTTTTAAGTTCAAAAGCTCAAATTAAAAAACCCTTCTTTTTTCCTTTCTGACTTTTAGAGACAGAACGTGCTGATAAGTGTGACCTTTCTGAAATGTGAGCAGCGATCACCCACAATAATATTTTATTAAAATCTTTTAGACATGTCCAAAGAGTACATCTTAGTGGCAGACAAGACTATTTCATATTGAACAGCCAATAGGGGAGAAAGGTTAAAGATGCAATGAACATCTATGACCATTTCCCTTTTGTCTAGAAAGCTTGCCTAGCAAAGGGGCATACTTGGCATTGCTGTATCATAGATGTGGCGAGTTGAAAGAGGCTGAAGTACCTGTGGCTCATTAAGTGTATATGGCTCTTTGCCTAGAAACCATAATTCTTTGGCATGTGTCTTAGTTTGGGAGGAGCTAGGTGTAGTTACAACAATACAGCCTGTCTCTTGTTCAGGCACAACTCTTCACAGCAAGAGGCGAGCTTTCTACTTTAAAAAGACGGGGGAACAGAGTAAGTATTCGAGTTGCTGAGGCTGAATCCCCACCACTTCTTTTTTTTCAGAGACTGCAGCTGGTTGCTATGCATTCCATTGTCCTTTTCTCATGACAGCAAAGCTTGAAATATGAACTTGGGAATATAGAACTGTTTAGGCCCAAAGAGGCAGATATTCCAGATTCCTTGAGTGTTTCTCCTGCTGTGTTTTTCTCACTTCTCATTCAGTGGTTGCTGCTCTGACATCCCCAGAATTGCCAGTTTTGTACCTGCTCAACGCTGTTTCCACTTTCAGATATTGATTTTCATCCCCAAGTGGTATCTTCCTTGCTAGGAGGCTAAAATGGTATAGGCCTTTAATACTGTATGATGCTGGCAAGCCTTCTGGCCAGTGGTACAGCACACAGAAGAGAAGACAGGATGTGTGATGGATGGAAGATGGAAGCCAGGGATGGTGTGGTTGGATAAGAAATCTTCAGGTAGGGCCCAAACAGGGTTAGGGACTAGGAGCAGACAGAAAGGTGAGAAATCTCCAGGATGAGATAGGAACACATGTCTCTGTAGGTGGATGTACTGGGATGGTGATGGTATTGATCAGTCAGACTCTTGACTGCAAGTATTTAGTCTATTTGGATTTTTGTGTTGCCTTTCATCTCAGAGGCAGGTGATTGGACAGGGGAATTTGGAACACTCTGGTTCACATTTAAAAGGTTCTTATCTTTTTTGAGATCTGTTTTGTCTCCGATTTGAGAGATCCTTCAATTCACATTGGATATCATTCATTCATTCATTCATTCATTTATATACCATCCATCTGGCAGCCAGGTGGGTGGTTTATTCTCTGGTGATGCTTATTGTCCAGCTGGCAGCCAGGAGGGTGGTTTATTCTCTGGTGATGCTTATTGTCTGGTGAGAAGGGTCTACACAAGTCTTTTGGTTGCTGATTTACTTGTGAATTAGTTTGCTTTGTTTACTCGCGTGTAAGTGGAGCGCCTCCTCCTGGAGCCAGAGTACTGCAGAACTGAGTGCTCTCTCGTCAGAAGGAAGGAAGTCAGAGGAAGAAGGGAAGGATGTGAACCTGCAACATGGACTGGCTTTTGGATAAGAGGAGTTTGAGAGCAACCAAGTACGGATTAGGGGCCCTGGGATTGTAAAGCGCCATATCTGGCCTCCAGCAGCACTATTGTGAATGGATGAAATTGTTCTTGCTGCAGAAACAGGCGTGAGTGGACAAGCTTATCCCTACCAAGATAAGGAGCAGCAACCCCCTCTTTTTCCACCCACCGTACAGCATCTCCTGCTGCCTATTCCTCCTAGCCCACCCTGTCACCTCCTTTCCACATCCTGTCCTTGTGTAGGGGATGCATGGCCAATGCCCTGTCTCAGCTGCTGTTCTACTAAAGCCCAATGTCCGGATTCACTCGCCTTTTTCCTCGGCCGAGGCTGTTCTGCCTTGTGGGGACAGAACCCATGGAGTCAACATAGCCCCTTTCCAAACTTTTCTCGCTTCCAGCATTCGGCCGGTTACAATGCCTCCCTCCCTCCCTTGTGTAAAATAAAGTAAGTGGCATAGTGAAAGGTAAATACATCCACCAAGTAAGTGGTGTAATGGGGGTTTTGTTATCCCTGTAACTAGACCCAGTTAACAATCTGGCTGCAGCGCTTGGACCCCCTGAAGTTTCTGAGCACGTTCCAAAGGAAGCACCACATAGATTAATCCAGCCGAGAAGTAACTAAGGTGTGTGTCACTGGGACCGGGTCAGACCTTTCCAGGAATGGGCCCAGTTGGTGCACTAGTTTTAACTGTTCAAAGGCACTGCTGGCCACCACCGAAATCTGGGCACAAACCTCTATGTAATGTCAAACAAAATAAAAGCCATGTCTAGCTTGGTGCTGAGCCTCTGTTCCCTGAAACCTAAAATTAAGTATCTCTTTGCCTTGCCTTGCCATAGACTCTGTATCCTGGCAAAGCAGGTGAGAGTAAATAGACTAATACATAAAATATATATTTGTGACAACTTCCTGGTTTTTGTTTATCAGCCCAAACCATTCATGGTAAGCAAGACTTGTCCCAACGGGTTCCATTCTTGAATACTGTAAAATATCATTTAAGGCACATACTATTGTGAAAGCTGTGTTTATAAGAAGTGTTTGTGGTCAGACACGTGATAGACTATGGTATGCATCTTACTCTTTCAATAGAACAGCAAGCACCCTCCTTTCTTTGACTTCTTTGCTTCTGTTGGTTCCTGACAGTGCTGTATAATGCGGAAGGGCTTAACTTGGTAATGGGACATTATAAACTTGGGCCATCTAGCTGACAAATGTGTTAACTGTACATAGGGTAGACTGCCATGAACTGGTTAGTGGATAGTGTTAATTATAATACTAAATTTATTCTGTAGTTTCTTCATTGAATTGGTAACTATGAAGTGCTCAAAATTGATGAGGTATTTTGTAACGACATTAAATGTGGTGTTGTATTTTGCTATTGCTATGAAATTTGTTGTTGTGTTGGGAGAAAAGCAGCATATTAACTAACTTACTATGGTCAGTCATGCTTTCTATCTGATCAAGTGTGTAGAAATAACCCTAGAATTTGTCCCTACACTCTGTCTAGAATATCTCTGTGGCCATATAAGGATATTTTTAATGGAGATTCTCATCACACTGTTATGTCAATTGTGTGGGTTGTTCAGAATTAGAGTATACATCCAGCTCTTTGGAAAAAAAATCAAACTCTTACATCTGGATGAAACCTGATTTCATTTATAAAATGTCGAAGTTGCTTTAGATGGGATTTTTCTGGTCATGCAATTTGGTCTTCTGGATTCTTCTGGACACACTCCAGAAAAACTGGCTGGAATTCACCGTGACTCCTGTTGCTGCACATGGTGCTCAATCTGCATTTTTAAAAACCACAGTGGGACTTATGTCCACCCCATGGAAAGCTTTTGGGAACCCATTAGAAAAAGTGTAGTTTTGGCCCCTTTTGCAATCTTCTGCTCCCCTTTTGGTAGACTTGTGTGGGCCCCTTTAATCCCTGCTTGCTCGCTGGCTCTTTTTTTGTATGATGCTAGGGGGAGAAGCCAGCCTGGTCCACCTCCCACCCCACACTGTGCTCTGAGCTCTGCTCATGAAGTGGATGTGGGCAAGTAGGCCAGCTTATTCCCCTGTCATAATTAGAGGGACCCAGTTATTGGAAAACACAGACAAGAGCTGGGACTCTTGCTGTCCCCTGCAACTGGAAATTTCTCCATTGCATGTGAGTCTGAAATGTTCCATCTCTATGATTGCATTAAGCTAATAAATTTAGGCCTGAGAAGCAAGCACCCCTCTTTTCCCCTCCAGCATTGCCCAGGCTTAGTCTAGTCAATTGCTTTAATGCCAGTGCCCTCTGTTACTTTAATTAGAAATTGTGCTCTAGTTAAATACTTATTCATGATTACAGGGGAGAAAGTGAGGGATGCTGGTTTACCTTTGATTATGTACTGAGTGTGTTGTTGGGCTGAGTTTTGTAACCAGAGTTCGCAAGCTCATTATGGTAGCATTTTTTTTAAATTGTCTTTATTATCTTTTTTTCCTTTGTTGTAACAGTGCCTGTGTTTTGTGCCTGTTTTAATGCTTTGCTGTGGATTATTGCAAACATGTAGTTCCAACCTCAGATTTTGATGTTTCTTTCGGATATGTCTCAGACTAGTTACTTATCTTTGTGCGAGATATGTGTGAAATATATTTTATGGCTTTAAAAGTGAATGAAAAGGCTTGTTCATGTATACTTTTGCCATAGTTCAGCATCTTTTGTTTTGTCTCCACAGCTTGGGGAAACTCTAAAGAGACGCTACATGACTAAATGACACTTGCTTCAGAAGAAAATTTGTTTGCTCTCTACCATTATGGCTCAATATTATCCAGGTGTGATGCACACTTTTCCTTATTCATACCTGCCCCTTGGGCCTAATCATGTGTCTCCAATGTCACAAGCCCCCATGTTCCCTCCTATCCAGATGCACAACCTCTATAGCAGGCCTCTTGCTCTCATCTTGGACAGTAACAATGGATACAATGACAATGCTGCCCACCAAGTGGAGTACCATCATATGTATGGTGCACATCCTTACTCCTATCCTTATCCCTGGTGGCACTGGCCCCAAGTGAGCCCTCTTCCTCTCTACAACCCCTATGCCAACTATCATCCATACACAGCATACCAGCAACCACGCTGGGATGTATGGCCAGAGGGCTTCACCCTGAGGGGGGAGCTTCGTTGGGGCAGGCTTGAGAGAGTTGTGGGACCTAGGAGGGATTTGCCAGAGTTTGTGAGAGATGATCTCAGAAGGGTCTATGGCACCTATCCAAGGACGGATGTGTCCATCACCTACCACAATGGGGAATTTCTTGTGAAAGGGGACCCTATAGTAGGAGAACAAGAATACCGGATAGAGAAGAGAATCATCAGGAAGGAGCCCACCCCAAGTGTCAGTGAAACAGAGGACAACAGTGAAGACCAGAAAAGGAAGAAGAAAAAGAAATCAAAAAGATAATCAAACTGGTCCTACAACTATATACAGCAGCATTAATTGAACTAATATCTCTATGTTAAGATGCAAGAGTCAGCTGTGGTGAATGCTGCCGTCTGGGCTAGAAGTGCACAGCAGATAATGGGAAATATTCTTCTTTAATCTTTTTACACTTTTCAAAGACATTTTAGTAGCAACTGATTACTAGATTGTTCAGGCTTATATATTAATTAATAAGCATAAGTTTCTCTTGTGCTCTAAGAAATATCACCCTATTCTGCTAGTATCTGAGCCATTTTCTTCAGATCAATGGACAGTTATATCAACCAAAAATATAGGTATGAGACTTCAACTGTAGTCGCTGGCACTCTGTTCCTATAAGTACCACTTACAATTTAACACTACAAAATCTCCCTAGTCCTTTTCTACCCTCTGCAAAATCTCCCTAGTCCTTTTCTACCCTCTGCATGTGAGTGGGAGATCACTGGCTACGTAACTAAGTCATAGAGTGCACTGCTTACTATGGAATTACTTAGAATCTGAGAGCAATGCAAGGTGGCGGTATATTGAAATTTGTTCTCACACCTGTATTTCACATGCTCACACACAACAGTGATTTTTTACAGCAGGATTACGCTCAATATGAATTCCATATTGTGTGACATGTGCAATTGATGGTTCATTACATGTGCATGAATGAAACCAACATTGTAGGGAGGGACCATTAAGAGATTTGCCTGGACACCAAGTTGGAGCCTAATATGTACACAAGCTATAGAATTTTAAATAAAACAAGCATGTTTTATTGAATCTTTGCATTTTGTTGCATGCAGATTTCTTGCCTGTGGTATGGTGTGGCAATTCTGCCCATGCTAAACAGTTTTGCTGATATATTTGTAAATATATTGATAAATGGTTTACATGCAGAATGGCTGTGGATGCCTAAATAATAGATATGCGTAGGCTGAGTGCTAGTATGATTGGCAGATGGATGACAGAATGTTGAGTGAAGGGTTGAATGGTGACTAGTTGGTGTGACTAGAATGTATTTAGAAGTTGAGAGGAAATCATGCCGTTTTAGAAGTCTGTTTTTGGAGAGAGAGCAAGGCTTGTCTATACACCCGATTTGGAGTGGGCTAAATAGGGTTGCTAGGAGGTCTGGCATGCCGTTTGGTGTGATCTTCATATCCAGACGGCATACAGAACTGAAGTGGCCCTATTTAGTCCCCAACAGTTGTCAGAAGCAGGAGGGGCAACAAGGGGGGTAGTTTGCATTTCTTTTAAAGGGACAGTCAAGAAAAGCAAACAAAAATCTCCCTTCTGTCTTCTGCTGCTACTCCACTTGCCCCTTTTAAAAAGGCAAGCCATGCCCACCTACCCACCCCCCACGGGCACATGCACAAAAAAGAGGGTTTAGCTTTTCAAAGGCAGCCTCCTCATGCTTAAATACTTCCACAGTGCAGAGAAAGTGTTCCACTTGCCATTATTGTGAAGTAGCTCTCTTATTAAGCTATACGTAGTACTTCAGGATATTAGCAAATTGAAAGAAGAAGGCTTCCTGAGGTCCATTTCTTCCATGTGCTGGAGGAAAAAAAACAAAATAGAGTGCGCCTACCTGCACCAAAAAAATAGAAGCCCCTTGACAGGTGTCAGAAAGGTGCAGTAGGACCACTTTGAGGGTGGACTGGTTTGCTCTAGCAAAGACATTATCTGATTGCCATCTTTAAAAGCACACCAGCCTGTCTGTGCAGCAGGCCAGACAACGGGCCAAATGCCTATCTGATCACACTCTAAGGGACTGCTGAATAATCTGGTAGAGTTAATGATAAAGTTTATCTTTTGACAAAGCCGAAAGGAATCTTATTGTGAGTGTGCTGTGTAGAGAGGTTGTGAAAATAGTTATTCTTAATTTTAACAGAGTGCTATATTTGTATTTAAAATTGTTTTAATTTTTATGTGATATTACTTTTATTCTACCCTAGAATATATCTTTCCCTTCGTACCAATTACCACGTGCCTTATATAAAACCTTTTTCATTGTTCAGAGCCAAAATCTCATTATTTATTTAATGACTTTTAAGATATGAAGCCATCTACTGATAGAAACATTACACCCATAACATGCAGGGCTATGTAAAACCATAGGCGGGGCGGCGGGAGGGATTGTAGCTGAAAAATAATCGTTTTCACTCATCATCTGAATATTAAATAGAATCCAGCTTGGGGCAAAGAGACTCTGACTGGGGCATTTCATATGTATAGGGGCTTACAGAAATCTCCATATTCTGAGGTCCCCTGATAATAATGGTTGTGTAAGAGCATTCAGACAAATACACAGTCTTCAAAAGAGTTTTGTGTTCCAGAGTGTTGGGAAGGCTCATGTGGACACTGTTATGTCTGCTATTTGTAGCTCTATATGCAAGCTGGTGAACATCTGCATGGACATATCACATGAGCTCTGCAGTTTAGCCGCACTTGGGAAGTTGATGTTGGCTTTTTTACATCCAAGTGGATTCTTCTTCTATTGCACCACACTGGCTTCCTTCAATAGATGATGTTTGTGCTTAGAAAGTCAGTAGATCATAAAGTGATATCAAAAGTCTATGAGGCACTGCAGCATTAACTTACCTAAGCCTGACAGGAGATGATTAGGTGTAATTGTTTAAATTAGAGCCTTTGCAACTGTTTACAAGGAGCAGATGGTACCCAAGGAGAATGATCCAGGTGGGTGGCCGAAGTTCAGCTGGCATGGTCTGTAAAGCAACCAGTCTTGACAAAGGACTTTGGCATCCGTTGGAAACAAAACAGCTCCCTGGAGTTTAGTTGCTGTCTAGCTGTAGAACTGAATCCACGGGGCGTTTTAATTGTTCCAAAGCCTATGGAATTCAGTTCTCAGAGCCAAGCAGCCATGTAGGATTCCCACTGGATGCAGCTGCCATCTGTCAGAAAAACCAAAAAGCAGTTATTACTAGAGAAATCTGTGTTTGCATTGTGAATATGTTAACATTTTTGTCACAGTATATAGGAAAATACTGGTAAACACTTGAATATCAATAGTTACTGAAAAGGCTAGACTCTTATGTACTTTTAGTAATAGGGTATGTACATGTAAGCTCTCTGGTAAACTTATGTATGTTTTCAGTGCCATCACTTTAATTGGAGGTTAACAGCTGAAATTTGTTGAAGAAAAGCAGCAGGATGTACTTCTAGTTTCCTACTGAAAGTAATGGCAGAATCTTTAACAAAGAGACAGAGCAAAAAATGAAAGCTCTGTAAAAGGGTTATTACACACATTATGATGTTATTAATCCATAAATTCTTATGGATTTACAACATCATAATGTGTGTAATAACCCTTTTACAGAGCTTTCATTTTTTGCTCTGTCTCTTTGTTAAAGATTCTGCCATTACTTTCAGTAACATATACATATGCTACATTTATAATGGGTAAAGTGCTCAAGTGAACTATGGAAACATTGGGTAAAGAGCACAGTTAGTCCAGGATTCCCAGCTCATGTTTCCATTATGTACACATGGTTGGCAGGAGTTAAAAGACAGATGTGCCCTTTAGGTCTACATAGTTGATGTAGCCTTCAATGAGTTTCCCATGGAAACATGACTCTTTAATGCTTACTGTAGAAAAATACAAAATGTAACACAGACAGACTGCCATAATTCTATAAGGGATAAATGTTGTTGTGTCCTTATCTCCTAAAAGGCCTTGCTTCTCATCAGAGCTTTCGCTATTGCAGAACAGGAGGTCTATAGTGCTGGGTCAGGTTCTAAGTAAGGAGGACTCTTGTATTGTTGCCATCCCTCTTGAAGCTGACCCGCATTGAACTACACATCATTAGATTGCACAAGTTTAGGTTTGATTACTAGTCCTACACCTGAGCAATTCTCTTCCCTTCCCTCTTTTCATTTTCTTTTCAGCACCCTGTATGGGGGAAGGAGGAAATCTTAACTTTCTGGGGCAAATCCTGTCTTCCACCATATATGTGCCACTAAAATCCCCTACTACTGCTGTCCCTAAAGATTAGAATAAGGTGGACCTAGATGTCTGAGATACCAGCAGTTCCCTATAAGTCTGATATAGCTATGGGCGATGTTCAAGCAGATACATATTGTATAAACATATAGCCTTATACATTTCCAAAAGCACACTAAAACATATTGGTGTGGAAAGGAGGCATATTGTTTATGTGGATGTCCTCAATTTAAAACATACAGCATAATTTTTATTCAATTAAACGTCCACAACAGCATAGTAGCCATTTGAACTCTAACTCAACCACAACTGCTATTTCTCACAGAAGTTTATCTGTATTTTTAAAAGAGGGAAAATGAAATATATCCAAATAGCCCTTAAATGAAGTTAATGTAAATGACTTAACTTCGTAAAATTCTTCTACAGTCCATCTATCCCTAAAGCCAGGGAGCTTTCCTTTTCCCTTAAATAACCCGATCTTTCTATCTTTTCCTGAGTTTTAAACACAGTTCACCTCTTGTCCTTCCTTTATGGCTTGCAGAGAACAATAGATATCTGCTACACAAACATATTCTTTAACAGCCAAATAAAGAAACAAGGAAAACACACACAAATATACTAGCAATTTGAAATTGCCCTTCTTCTTGACTGTTTAAGTTGCAACCCCCAAAATTCCTGAATAAGTCAAAATCTGATCTTTTTAAAAGTATAAAACAGTTTCTAATAGAATTACGTATGCTTCTGCAGATGGAGGAATTCAAGCCAGCAAAGCAACACTGGCTGCCGACTCTTGCTAAAACAAATAAAATTAGATGTTGAAAACACAAAATCAAGTTCTAACAAGAAGTATCCTTATAATGTGGAGTTGTTTCCCCCAGCCCAGAAGGCACGTCCCTGATTCCCAAAGATGCACTGCAACACATAATTACAAACAATGACCCAAAGAGCAGCGCTGACCTGTTAACTCGTGTCCACAGCAACTCCAGCTGTTTCTTTCCAGACTGCACAAGCGACACTGCCAGAGGCACTTAAATATGACAAGCTACTTACTTACTTCTCTTCCTGGACTGCTGAGGCACGCACATGGTCTGAGCAACTTCCACTGCCCCCTCCTTTCAACGATTGGTTTCCAGGCTTTTCTGAGAAATGAGGAAAGCGTGGGCGGGCAAGTCAAGCATCCCACAGAAGGCAGCTTCTGCCAGGATGCACTTCTCAAGAAACTCCCTGGACCTGTTGCTGCAGCTGCCTCTTCCCAAGAAGGAAGCCACGCTTGAAACAGAAAGGTGAGCTGGAGGGCAGAAGGCACTTTCGGATAAAGACTGTATTTTTGCCTGCCCTGCTTGCCTGGAAAAGAAGCTTGAAGCGAGGCCCCGGCAGCTTCTGTTACTTCTGTTGAAGCAGAACATTCTCTTTGTTAATATTCCTGTCGTTGCCAAGTCTCTGCTTATAATCATTGATCTGCTTGCTACATATTCCTTTGAATTCTGTGCCTTGTTTAAACCTACCAATGGTATGTAGATAGAGTAAAATCATCACAGCTCATCACAGGCAGAATGGTAGGTTTTTTGTGATAAATGGTTGAGGGTTAGCTCTCCATATTAATAGTTACGGCCAAATACAATCCAGCTTGCTTTTTCAAAAATCTGCCAGAACTGACGGACAAGCCAGGTGTGATACTAGCTCTCTCATCCAGCTCTCCCAGAGCTTTGACAGAACCTAATGCTGCTGAATGTTATTTTGCTTCACATGCTGGTTAACTGCTGTCTTAATTTTGCATCCTGCCCCTGGGTGGCACTATGCCAGGGTTATTGT